GCGCATCCCTGCGATCTTGCGCGAGTTTTCCTTCGCAAAAAATTACAAATTTGAAATAATTTTATATATTCCGTACATTATAGCATACTTGATACTTTTGCGATTTTTTTTTGTAGTTGTGCATACATTAATTACGAAAATGTCAGAACGTATTTTTGCATAAAAGAATATCTACAAAAATTTATTAACTGATCAAATAAAAATAAATAGTACGTAAAAGAATTAAAAAATAGTGTGCATAATATACAGGGTGTTTTTTCCGATGTTTAGTACGGGGATCTCGTAACCCGTAAGAGATATAAAGTCGCTTTTAATAGACAAAGAATTGTAGAATTTCATGTAGATAAAGTTTCCCTTTCAGAGTTTGCGTAGCTCTACAAACAACGAAGTTATGGTCAAAAAACTGAAAAACGTCATTTTCGAAAATGCGGTGGCGTCCATTGATTTTCAAAAATATCAAAAAATTAACAAACTATTGGTAATTTTTTCTCATCTTTCTGATGGTGGTAAAATAACATTTTTATCACTTGTGAGTTTTGAGTAAATCACATCAACTTTCTTATTTCTTATGGGGGGTCCAATGTAATTCCATACAAAAAAAAAAGTACAAAACTAGTGATACCAAACACTTAGTATTTCATTTGGGAATCAACTTGGTATTTTTCCCTCGAAGTTTACAATGTATTTCTTATGAGAATAATTCCACAGGTGATTATGATTGAAAACAAATTGTCTCGCATAGTCACCATCGACACAGCCATGAAATTATTGCCATAAGAAATACACTGTAAACTTCGAGGCAAAAATGCAAGGTTGATTCCCAATTAGTATTGCTGATTTTGTAATTTTTTTTTCTATCAAATGACATAAAAATTCAATATGGCGTCCATTTAAAATAAGAAAGTTGATGTCAATACCTCGAAAGCCGCCATTTTAAATTTTTTTTCTACACCCATTGAATTTATCCCATCGAATCTTGCAACTTTTATTATAAAACATTAGCCACTTACGAATTACGGTTAATGAGAAAACTAAGCTCAAATTCGGGGTCAAATCGATCACTATCCATTCCAAAACCCGTTTTAATACATATCTCATACTTTGCTCGAATTTTAGAGACCTCTATCGAAACTCTACGAAAACCAGGGGGGTGTAACAGAGGGACTTCGGACCCCGCATCTCGTCGATGCGCAATTGTACGTTTTCCCCTAGATCTAACCGTCCAGCACCCGCTACTACGAAAATCTCGATAATTCATCAAATCTGAGAAAACTCAGCAGTCTTGATTAACTCCACAATTCCAAAGAATTATATTGAGAACTCTTATCTGGGTCATAATTTGGGCTTGATTAAACACAACATAGAACATTTACAGATGAAACAAATTTATTAAACACACTGGAACTACTTGTGACCAACACCAATAAAGCACAATAATATATTAAAACCTCGAACGCGTTTCGACAGCAAGGCTGTCATCTTCAGCGAACATCTGGACAATAAAATACAAATTAAGACAAATTCAATCAATAAGTTAAAAGAAAAAGAAGCACACATGAATGATAAAGAAAGTACTCACAATCGATTGAAACAATTGATTAATTACCTTCAAATGTTGATAATCCAAAATATCCGATCCTAACTGCTATTTTCAAATAAACAGACGCACCAACACAAAACACCAGGCGATATTGCTTTGAAATTTCACTTCTCTACTTTAATTATTGCACTTACGGATGTAATATTGGCCCTTTGATGGTAGAAAAAAACTCCCTTTAACTGATACTTGAATGTCTTAAAGAAATGCTTCACATAAGCGATAACTGAGCGATCCGATACTCCTTCGTAAACTTCACTTCTTTAATTCAATTTAAATATTCACTTTAAACAGTGTACTAAAAAAAGCACTCGACTGACTTTCTTCTACAAAACTGCTTGGAATAATACGATTAAATGTGGCACCAAAACAATAAGCAGCTACACTTCAATGTCCTCCCAAACCACCAAAAAAGTCACGATTAACGTCCGTCACCTCTGTTTAAAACACTTTCCCTTTCTTTCCGAACCATCTCCTTAAAAAATAGAGCAGGAAGTTACAATTTTTATTGGCATTAATTAAAATTTTGATCTCTCGATGCTTTACATTTCCGTTTGATACAATTATTAAATATAACTCTTAGATTAAAACGTGGTATACATAATAAAATATATAGAAGGCACTCTAAAAAATCACATACGCTGATTGCTTATAGATTAAAATTTTGTTAATAAAACATAAATGGTGATATAGTATTCTACACAGCCTCTTTTACTTCAAAACATCATGTTAAAAACGCACATCAGTGTTAATACTTTTTTAAAATACATATAAATAAATGTTTAAAATTTAAGTACGTTGTTATGATTATGACAAATCAATTAAAGTGATTAATAACTGGTTCATGGCACTCATATTACTCATATAAGGCGAGTTTGCTTTAAATAATGAATGAGAAGTGAATACACGAAACGATATTGAGCAATTGTTTGTACCATAAATGGGCGTTGGTGACGTAACAGACCGACGACTCTAGCTACATCCACCTCCTAAAAACACACAGCATCAGAACTAACTCGTACAATCCGAGAAAACGTACCTGATTGTGATCTACCGTGTAAAGTAAAAGATCTGCCAATACTGTCAAACCAGTTCTCCCAACGCCTGCGGTGCAGTGCACGAGAACCGGAGGATTTTTGTTGTGTCCCGGTGGTATTTCCTCTAACGAGTGTTGCTGTACCGACTGTAACTCTTCCAAAAATCCGAGGAAATGTGACACCGATTGTGGACAGCCGTGCTCGCCCCAATCGGTATAATGAAGATGCCATAAAGTTCTATATCGACGCGACGAAACATGGCACAGACGTATTTTACTCGTTATGCAATGGCCGGTTTTTTGGGAGAACTCCCACCAAATTTGATAGTCCTAAACAGACAACTATAGTCAAAAGAATTATTATTATTATGTTGTTAATTATGGTAGATCTAGTGCCACTGTATGAATTTGTGTGCAGTAAGGATCAAAAGTTGAACAGGTTGTCGTTGTAACAGAACAAATGCTCAAAATATTATACGGAGCCAGCTTCAGATTTGGACAAGCGGAAATCAAGCGTAAAGGATCTAGCAAGCCTAAGGCTAGTAGCGCCCTTTCCAAGAGCCCGCCGGAGAGGGAAACCAGAGGTGCGCCAGGCACCCAAATCCCAAAAGCCAGTACCAGTGGTCAAACAAAAAGCCAAGGAAGCTTTAGTCCTAAATTGGAAGGACTTAGGATACATTACAGGGCTGTTCACAGGCCATATACCGTTTAAATACCATCTACATAAAATTGGGGACAGACTTAAATGCTACACTGCCATACCCTTAGACTCACAATACCGTAGTATAAGTATTTGGCTCCACCCTCACCTGATTCATGTGTTATATAATATAGAAAGAGAGTTAAATTGAAAAACCTAACATCCTTCAGTTTTCAGTCAAACGTGATCATAGTAATCTAGTAGACTGCTATTCTTTCCTTATTCTTTTTAGGTTATCTTTCCACAGCAAAAGTCAAAATTTGAGGTTAATGTCGATATAAACTCAAAATCTGATCGGTTTGATTTGTCCAGACACACACACACAGCAATGACGATTAAAATTAATAATAAATTTGCTTTAGCCTAATGAACACCTTCTACCTACCTGACTAGCATCAATACAGCGTTGTTCCGCATTTGGTAAATAATTAATATCTTCCAAAAGTTCAGTGAGCTGCACTAAAAGGTATACCTCTGCTTCCCAAACGCATTGCCAAAAATGTGGTATCGTAAGCTTCGTAGGTCCTTGCATTGCTATATAGAATCGTTGTTTACTGCCAACTGTTGCCTGAAATTTTTTTGAATAAACTTACATCATTACTACTATTCACTACATACAGTGCGTCCCAGGTAGAACGCACCATAGGGAAACGACAATGTATTTTTTCGCGAAAGATACAAGAAGCCTTTGAAATAAGGACTGTTCCTCGGCCATATCTCGGAAACCGTTCTATGACTTAGGGATAAAAAAAATGATTGGGTAAATCGGTTATGAAGAATCGCTGGAAAATATTTTCAAGTTTCAGTCAAACCGTTTTTCAAAATCTCGTTCATAACCTCAAATATTGGGAAAATGAGATTAATTAATTAATACATAAAAATGCTTAAATTGTATCTTATTTGACGTATTTCCTGTATTTGTCGATGGCGCGAAAGATTGGAAAAGGACCCTTCACTTTTAGGTAGGCCTTGGAAAATTAAACAAATGAAACACGATGCATTATAAAATAATAACAGCCGTAGTTTGTAAATTATTCTGTGATTACATTCAGAAAGTGCAGTTTTTTGAATTTGTAATCTTTTCTAAAATGCCAATTTCTAACCAAGAAGCATTTAATATGCTGGAGGCGATGGTTCGTTATCGATGCGGATAACGCAAGTAGAAGATGCCGGCAGCGATGGTCGCATTTTAAAAATACTCAAAATATATCGGCAGCATATTAAATGCTTCTTGGTTAAATCGATATTTTAGAAAAAATTACAAATTCAAAAAACTGCACTTTCTAAATGTCAACACAGCAGAATAATTTACAAATTACGGCTGTTGTTATTGTATAATGCATCATGTTTCGTTTGTTTAATTTTCCAAGGCCTACCTAAAAGTGTAAGGTGCTTTTCTTTCGCGCCATCCACAGATACCGGAAATACGTAAAAAGTAAATTTAAGATATAAATTAAGCATTTTAATTTAATTAATTAATTAATTAATTAATCTTATTTTCCCAATATTTGAGGTTAGGAATTGAGATTTTGAAAAACGGTTTTCACTGGCCTCTTTGGATGTTATTTGGCTACTTTTTCATAAAGAAAAAGTCATCATTCTTTTTGATTTTTTTAGGATTTTGGGTCATAGTGTTAAAACTAGCCCCCCCTGGCGGAGAAGGATTCAACTAAATTACGGGACGGGTTAAGTGGAAGAGCACAAAGGGCTGCATGCCTCTCAGTGAACTTCGCCTTTTGGACGCCAAGTTGAATGTGTAATATTGGTATTGTTTATATATTTGTCATAGTGTGTCCAAATAAAGTCATTATTATTATTATTTTTTAATTTCTCACTTTTGTGGAGTTACATCAATGGACGGGCGTGAACACCAAGTACCACTGATACCTATTGTTATTTTTATTGCCAGTTTAGAAAAGATCGCACTATATTATTATTATTATTAACTATATTTTGGTTGATTTTCATTGCTCAAGGAATGCTCTTTTCATTGTTAAAATCGGTCAAACAGTTAAGAAGTTAAAGCAGGTTATTTCAAAAACAATTGAACTCTAACTGAATTTTTACGAAAATGATAGGTAATAGGTAAAGAAAAATGTGAAAAGAAATTTTTTAGTTTATTATGCGAAATTTAAAGAAAATGCAATTTTAAAATTTAAGATGGCAGTTACGCCCTCTGTTGGTCATTTTTAGAACTTGAAAATATTTTCCAGCGATTCTTCTTGACCGATTTACCCAATCATTTTTTTAACCCCATATCATATGACGAACGGTTCTCGAGATATGGCCGAGGAACAGTCTTATTGGGTCATCCGGTACATTGAAATACTTCGCGAATACATTAATTCTGTTTGCCTATGGTGCGTTCAACCTGGAACACACGATATACATTGTGTCCAAGATACGGATGGCTATCATGGGGATCTTGGAAACCATACAAGATACGAAGATGGGAAAAGGTGCGCAATTAAAGAGTAATTATCATGCTGTAAAGCGAACTAGAAAATTCCGACTGCTTCCGAAGATGTGCCAGACAAGCCGAAATTTGCCGACTTTCTTTTATTTTTTTTTATGTCATCTGAACAGATACAAAAAATAAAAAACACTTACTCGTTGCCACTTTTTGGGTTCTTCATGACACTGTTGATAGATTTTCAATACGTTTTGTTTTGAGAAAATCATCAACTTTATTTTTCTATATGGATCAGAAAAAAAGTACATACTGTATTGAGTGGTATTTTTTATTACAAATACAAGGATGTACGGCACAAAAAAAACAAAAGTTGTAAACTATTGGTTTCAACAGGATAGTGCACCCACGCACAACCACCCGAGGATACCTATCGGACAAATTTCCTGGAAAATCGAAAATAAATTGTTTGTAGAAAATGCAATGCTAGAAACTGGATACCGAGACTCTACACATACAATAAATTAGTCCTTGAAACAACAATGGAATTGGAAGATGCCTACCATTTAAACAACATGAGATGGAGTAGCTTTCATACAGATAACTGGTGTCAGTTGTGATTGTGCAAATGCATAATTGTCAAATCCTACACCACAACTTGTAAATAAAGGTGGCGGAAACATTATAATTTCTATTTTAACCAGTAGGTGGCGTATATTAAAAATTTGTTTGCCTCCCATTACCTAAATAATTACTTACGGTAATATGCGACGCGTTAATGTATCCAAATTTATTTTCTCGAGTCGGAGTCAATCTTAACCTATTATCTTCGTAGGGCAAGACGTCCTTGTAACGATTGTACTTCGCATTGTCGAGGTGCAAGGCGGTGGTAAAATCGGCGTTCTGCTTCTTCTTAGGTATCTTGTCAAATTCGAAAAACAACTGACTATCGGCAAGCTTATTTTCTAAGACTTGGCACTAGAATATTGGCGCAATTAACCGTCGATCGGCGGACGGTTGACTTACCATTGTTTCCTTACTAATCGAAGGTGGTAACGGATACAAACGCGGTAGACCTGTCGACCACCTATGACGGTTGGTTTGGTTCTTTTCCTTGTTTTTCTCTTTCTCTCTTCCCAACGTCGCACTTTTCACTTTTTCGTTTGATTTACTCCTGCCCATTAAGATACCCCATCGTTTCCTCTTTGTCTTACCTGAACTGTTACCCGAGCTGTTGCTGATATCGCTAATGATCTCACTACTGGTGTTACTTTCCGGTAGAGGAGTGCTCATCGCCGATTTACCAACTGTAAATGTATTATTCATCTTGGTCATGGACGTGTCGGTGGAACTATTACTAAAAGCGGTGCTCGTGGAAATTTGTGTCAAGTTTTGCGAAGACGATTGATTTATTAAGCTTCCGGTACTACCGACCAAATCATTTTTGGAAGACTTATTACTATTTCCGCTTCGGTTTATGTTGGCGTATAGGTTTTCTCGATTCGATTTGTCATTTGAGTGTTGCATGTTAGCCGTCATGTTATTTATTAGGGTATGATTTAGTATTTGACTAATTTCTGGGGCCGACTGTACGCTTTGGGTACGCGATCGCATTTCCCCACCGTCGTTTTGCCAAGGGAGTGGAATATTTTCGTAGATTGGCTCCCAGGAGTTATTCAAGTCTTGAACGTGTGTGACAACCGCATTTTGGTTGCGTGTTACTACGAACCCTGTACTTGGTAGTTTATTCTCTTGCAGTATTTGTTTCATATTTGCGGGCATACAGTAGATTATATTGCCATGTTCGTCATAAACCTTTTTAATATGTTTCGTTACATTTGGATTATCGACGATTACAGCTTGGGGCAGTCCTAGAAGGTTACTTTCAAATAATTGCGTTCAGTTTTTATATGTACCTTGAGGTGCAGATAGGTAGCTGTGCGATCGATGGACGGGATCAGTTTGTTGCTGTGGGTAAAGCGCTTGACCGTACTGTTTTAAATACTGCTGATTGATGATGTTTCCATTTGATACTAAATCAGGACTAGATCCGGAGACAATGTTATTAATGTAACTAATTTGAGTGTTGTGTTGTTGCGTAAGCCCAGCTAAATCTGGAGTAGAATTTGAGTTAATTCTATTGCTCGGGTATGGGGGTGGAGGTTTATAAAGGTGTAAAAGTCCCATGCTTTCGGTTAAATTGACCATGCCTTGTGATTGTGTGTATGGTGCACTGTAAAGTGTGGATATCAAATTTTTCTGCTCAATGTTATTGTGAGTTACATCCGGGTAACACAGGTGGGAGGAGTAACCATCGGTTTGGTGTATTTCTGGTTGTGAACTGTACAAAATAGCGTGAGTGTTGTGTAAAGGTTCTCGATTTTGAATTGCACTTGATGAGTTGCGATATTTCTGTTGGACCGCAGTTTCATAGTCTGGGGCCTGTCTGTATGATGGAAGTAAACTTCGTAATTTATCGATGTCGGTGGGAGTATTCAAATCCAGGCACGACGTTGACTGAGCTCGAAGAGTTAATGCGTGTGAAGATCGTTGTGAAGTTGTCGATATATCTTCATAACTGTCCAATTTCCGTAAGTTGCCCTGAAGTGTAGCACAATTTTAGTTGAAATATTTTTTCTATATTTTATTTAAGTTTATTTTGTTATCTGCTTTGTTTAATGTAAATTTTGAACATAGTAACATCTTATGAAAATATCTCCACAATTATTAATTTAATTGTTTATCACTACCGGAGACGAGCGCGCTATGCTTACGAATTAGGACGGAGCGCTCAAAACAGTCACATGATCTTAGGAGTCAATTCGGGACATATTAAATATATTTTTTTTCTCCGGATCCGTTGAACATAGAGCCACAAAATTTCAATGAGAGTTGGTCAATGGTACAGGCAATTAAATTCGGGTGTTTGTTAATTTTTAGAAACACTGGAAATAATTAATTTTAAGATTTTAAGTCTTTGAAGATAAAACGACGATATTAAATTCGTGTTTTTCTATACAGTGCCACCATGCTCAGAAAAGTCCCGGAAAATATGCGAACTAGTTTTGAAATAATTCAGGCTGGCCAATAGAAAGTCTGCAAAACGACGCGATACATTCAGCGTCATAATTATTAATTATTCCGTTTTGACAGTTGACGCTTGACGTTATTTTAGTTTACACTTTGCTTCTTGTATTTGGCTTTATTTCACGATTTCCGTCTCCAGTTTTATACAAAATCGTCTTTTTCAAGACGCATATAGCTTGCATCTACGATCTGACAGGTGATAAGGTATGTAATTCCCTTAAAGTGTTTTTAAATTTTGCATCAGAATGTACGGTCTAAATTTCTAGTGCCCTCGGACACACCCTGTCAGGGACTTTCTGAGCGTGGTGCCACTGTATTTCCACCATCATATTTCTGTTTCTAGGAACCATATCATTATAATTCTTTCGGTGTCTTAAACTAGAATGATATGCGCCTCCAATTATGAGTATATAATGCCTTATCTGGTATTAGTGTAGATTTAACAGTCCCCACAATATCGCACATTAATTATCCGCGCAGAGCAAAATTCACCACGCGAGAAACTTTTTTGTTGTTGGCACAATTGTATCAATGTATCGAATGAATTGTGGCCAAAGGACACAAAAATGTTTTTCAGAAGGAATTTTTAAGAAATGGTCTTTTCACTACAGTATAGTCACTATTACAGAGATGTCGCTTTAAACAAACAAGTCTTAAAGTCACTAGATATCTTAGACCATATAGTACATGGACTGCTAATTGTAACTAAAATATGGTCAAGGACATCGCCTGGGTATGTGAGTTTCAGGGTAAACGAGTCTGTCCGAAGTTGTCCGATTAGACACGATTTGAGACTGTCAACCTATAAATTAACAAACGTCAATTAATTAACCGCCTAGATATCCCAAAAAAAGCAAACTTATTCTTATTTGTGGACGTATAGTAAATAATGAAGAGTATTTAAAGCTTCCCGTACTACGCGGTTGCTATAAAGCTGCTCTTTAAGCGATCCTAGTGGTGTTTACACGACTTTAGTTTACCCTGAGATTCACATACCCACGACTACAGTGCCCTCTATTCGTGACCATCCATTTTGTATTGAAAGCATAGGGCGAATAGCAGTCCATGTACTATATGGTCTAAAGGTAAGTTCATAGCACTCCGTTCATACGTTTCCGTTTGTCCGTTAGCCAATCAGAAGACAGCAAATTTTTAAACGTACGTCGTCCGTTTACGACGGAAAAGTTGATTGAAGTTGAACATTTACGTTTCCGTTGGTCCGTTTTTAACAAGAGTGGTTGTATACAAGAGAGAGTGGAACGGAAGTCGGCCATTTGCAAAAGCAAATTGCAATTTACAAATTTTTTATCGGAATATAGTTTGAGGTTAGTTAAACAAAAGTCATAGGCGGAGTAGACACATGGGGGTTTAGATTGTTTTCGTGTAAAATTCTTTATAATTGTATCCTTCTACAACTGTAAGGTAGGTACGCCACTGGAACAGGAAACTACTGTCCGCCATTTGCAAAAGCCATCTCGGTCGTACGTATATTGTTGATATTCTCCTTCCCGGTATTCTTTATTCATTGATAAAAATATATACAGATATCTCCAAACAGGTGGAACAATCCCTAACATTAAAGTTACTAGAATCTGGTAACTTCCGCCATTTTTGGGCAAAAATCATGCGTTCTCTTTCTAACACACGAGCCTAATGGATTGCGGTACTTTCTATATTTAGTGACTTTAACAAGTCTAAGAGAAATCCGAGATTAGTTTATTTACCTACAGATGTGCCATTGATCGACTGCAGGTGGGCCTATTAAGTGAGAATTTTAAGTCTACATTATTCAAACGTAAATAGAGACATCTATTAATGGCAAGCATAAGTACCAAAAGTAGCGCGAGCAATAATATTTCAAATCTTATGGCATGTGATATTCTACGCATTCGCCATCTATTGGCAGAAGTACCTCTCTTAATAAAAAAACTGTCAAGTATCTGACTTGCTAATTTTTATAGTAAGTAGGTACTTATTGTAAAATGAACTAGACATAAATAGTATATTATATACCGCGGGACTGAAGTAGTACTTTTAATCCCGAAGGTAAAGTTTATGGCCCGACCGAAGGGAGGGCCATAATTTACCTGAGGGATTAAGAACACTACTTCAGTCGCAAGGTATATACGATATTTTTCGTACTTCCGAAACTGAAACACTTAATATGTATGGAGTTAGAGAACGCGTTCTTTCAAAAAATCGCTACTTAACAAGTTACCATAGGAACGTTGCGTTGGTACGACAATTCCTATGCTGTGGTAACAAAAATAATTTGGAAACTGTCATTGCTAGTGTCATAATTTTGGTGGTGGGTGACAAAAGTGTATTTGATATTCATAAAAAGCAGCCAAACTAGGTAAAGAATTGATACCACCGAAATCCAAAAAACTATATGAGCAGCAGTACGATACGTTTAAGAAGTAGTGCCGCATACAAAATGTGGAACAACCTACTGAAATTGCCTTGTTAGTAATTTCATCCTTCCGGGATTTTCGTCAAAATTTAATCCCGGCGGGACAAAAAGTGACACTTCAGTACTTGTCATAATGGAGTGAAGTGGTCACTTTAGTCTCGGAAGTACGAAAAACATTATATTTATTGCTATTTTAATTTTAATCTCTGCATTTCCGTGCAAAGGCGAGTAACTTAAGCGCATTTTCCATGCATTGATCAGTACTTCTCAAAAGGCCGCGCTATGTTTGTCTTTACTAGAAGCACCTATGGTTACAATTTTAAAATCTCCATAAATAAGAATGTTCCAAACATGTGCAGTATAGTGAAGTAATGCGTGTTGCTCCTGTTGGCTCATTGGTAAGAGGTTTTTTATATATTTTATTTTTGATTGTTATTTTGTTTCTTGCCCTTATGAAACCCCTCACGAAAGTGGGCAAAATGTAGACTTTTCGTTTAACATTGACACGGTTCTATCCCGGAAGTCGCTTGCATCTTAATGACTCCAGTCGTGGAAGCCTCCGTTCTGACATCTTCAAAAATAATAAAGACAGCATTGAGTAGTCTGCGCATGCGCACATCTGATTTTTACTATATGCGATATTTATTAAAATTTCAATAAAATAATTGTATAAATAAGAAAGTTGATGTCAGATCTATAAGCTACTGAACTCAAAAAGAATGACCTAAATATATTGAAGAGTGTAGGAGTAATTAAGGCCTCGGACGGACGGGCGGAAAAAGTGGTCGTAATAGCGCCTTCCAACATGAGATGGACAACGCGCTAATAAAGCATCTACCTTTACAGCCGTAAAAACTACATTAGTGATTACTTTTGACCATTGTAAATAAACAAAATGGCCGTTTTATCTCAATATTAATTACAATGTGCTGCCACCAGAGGTCGCAGTATTAATCTGAATCACTAAAGTCACTAAATATAGAAAGTAACGCAATCCATTGGGCTCGTGTGTTAGAGAGAACGCATGATTTTTGCCCAAAAATGGCGGAAGTTACCAGATTCTAGTAACTTTAGTGTTAGGGATTGTTTCACCTGTTTGGAGATATCTGTATATATTTTTATAAAACATGACAGTATATGAAGGTAGGTTATAAAAAATTACAACTATTCAGATTTTATTGTCAATTTTTTTAAGTTGGCAGCAAATTTGCCCAAAAATGGCGGATGATTGCGGTACTTTCTATATCTAGTGACTTTACTGAATCACGAATGAAAGCTACGAGTCTGACTTTAGTCTACCCTGAGATTCAAATACCCACGACTACAATGCCCCCTATCTATGACGTCCTTCCGCAGGCTACGCATAGATAACGCTTATATTTTTGAAATTAGAAAGAAAAGATCTATTCAATTTTTGAAAAAAATACAGGACGTTCCGTTAAAAATTTACCAAATTTGCTTTTTTACCAACTTTGCGATCTCATTCGTTTTTTTACTATACATTTTCTGGCGCTCTATGATACATTGTATTCTCGATTGTATTTAAAGTTTTTTTCTATCTCTTATAATAAATGAGATAAACCTGTACAGTGTACAGGGTGGTCCAAATTGGACACTTTCTTACAGAAAAAAAATGGACCTAGATGTCTGGAGCTCAATTTTAAAGAAAACATCACTAGTGCAAACAGAATTAAGCTACCTCTAATCGTTTGGCCGGTAGGTGACGCTTTTCATAGTTAGTCTGATAGCTTTTATTAAAGATAATTGATTTTGGCAAAATCTTATTATTATGTACGATCCACCACAATACACAGTTCTTATACAGGCTGGTTGGTTTTTTATACGACCCTAGGCTACATACTTTCGAATACATACAGATTTCCTAAATTTTGATGTTTCATTTGTTATATTTTTATTAAATATTATTTGCAATATTGCATTTGATACATTAAAATATTTTTATTGCAGATATCTAGGTTTCCATGGCTAACAAAAGACGCAGGATAATTTAAAACAACAATTTCTTGGCTTCTTAGTTTAGAAAGCTGGGACAGGAACCGGAAAGCTAAATAGATTGCTTTATAAGCAAAGATCCTAACTAATTCCTAGAAACCTCTAGAAATGGACTAGAATGCCCTGTAAAATTTACACTTCAGGCTCTGAATTCAGATTTTCAAGTCTGCTTTTGGAGAAATTATATAAGATACAAACCTACTACCTAAAAAACATAGCACAGTAACCGATCTATTTGATTGGCATTCACTAAAAAAAAACCGCCTTGAATGTAGTTATCTAACACAAGACAATTTAAGTACTTAATTTTTGGAAGCTGAACAATACCGCTTGATATACCAGTATAGGTAATAATGTATGTACCAAAATTCCTGTGAATTAGCCTGTTCATTTTCATGTTAAATGGTCTGTCCACGAATTACACATTACAAGTAAATGATTGTTATGTGCCACTTCTTGTGCGTGTGAAAATCAATTTTGTTTTACATCTTGCAGCTGTCCCAATGTAGTAAAACATCTGTTGGTTTGGAACCTTATTTGTTTATGAAATTAGACTGCGTCTGTTGTAAGTACTGTTAGTAAGTGAAAAAATGTGTGGCATAGACATATTGGGCATCATCCTTTATTAAAAGTGACTTAAAAAGGACACTTACCTCAGGGTTGGCTTGCTGAAAAACTGGTGGATCTTTATCGCTGGTCTCAGTATTGGCCTCCATTTCAAATTCTCGAAAGAACATATGTTGTAGGACACAAAACCGCCACATATTTTTTGCCGTTTCCACATCGGCAAAATGAAACTCTGCTTTATCAGAACCGACTACAGATTCGATAGTGAAATCCCTCTTATGGTTAATTACATTACTAATATCGACCCACCTAAATAAAGCTAGCTAGAGGTAATATACCTAACCACTATAGCGCTAAATACCCATAGCTTCGTCCCTCTCTGCCGGTGGCGTACGAAACGGTAATCCCGGTCAGCGAAACGCCTATAATTGCCTCTTCTCCCGCACTATCTTTGACTGCAAATATTTCCTGCCCATAACCATCTAGTCGTTGGCAAGCGCAGATGTAATATTCTTCTGCTGTCCCTTGTGGTAAATTATGTAAAAGAGCATGCTGACGACTAGCTGCCTCGGTTAACGATTCTAATAAACACGAGTCAGTGAAATTCTAAAAAAGACTCATGGCCTAAAGTGATTTTGCGATTAGAACATACCTTTGGAAACAATTGAAAATCTTTCAGATAGTGTGCTGTGTGACGTTCAGCATCGAAATTACCAAATTCGGCTTGCATACAGTAGCTTGCCAATTCGACTGCCTGTTGCGGATTACACCATATACGGCCCTCAATTACATCCATTTTCAATTGCAGAAAATAATGAGACCTACGGTACTTCGACATTACAGCTCAGCATTAAACCGGCAAGTATTACCTTGTAACTTCATCGTTTAGCAATCGACATCCTGATACAACATAGTACATCACACGTAAATAAACTGACAAACTCTTAGCGTGCTTGTCCAGCTGCCGTTTTATTGGGCGATCTAATTCTAACCAGCACAAAGTAGGCTCCTTATATCGACTTAAATATTGTAATCCGAAAAACTTTGGTTGGTTCAGTCCGAGCTTCTGGCACACGACATCTAGGCAATCTTGCCCGCTGTTTTCCGAGGAGAGTGTACATTCGATATTTGTACCGTCCAACATTTCCACGGATATAACGAACAGCGACTTTGAAACCACGCTGTAATGACGCGATTTTTTTAATTTCAGCTTGAAAGGCATATTTTTCTGTTGTGTCCTAAAAAGAGGCGCAAGTTGGCTTTGAATTATTGAAGCAAAAGCGTACCTGACGACTTTATCAATAAAATATTTGGGCGGATTTGGTTAGATTAATTCCTTAATTGGGTTTAATAGTAATTTCGTATTCAGCTCACATTTTTAATAGAAAACGTTAGATAAACTGAGGGGGCTGTGTAATGTTAATGAAGTAGAGAGAGTAATCTTGGGAGAATAACAAACTATTTTTATTTCATGTGTTTGGGGGCAGCACCTGCATCAAAACAACAAGCGCAGGTAACCACTGCCATGTTGGCAATATTTACTGCAACTGCTAAAGCCCCTTTCAGACGTTGACGTATAATGGACCCCTGGACGTGAAACGTAGGGCCTAGGGAACAATGTGAAGCCAATCTTCCTCTTCTAGGCACAGTAACAAGGAAACCTTTTAGGGTGGGGTAATTACATCAAGATTCATTTTATACATTACTCACCGCAAAAGGTAGTGTGTATTCGCCTTAACTAACCCCATTTATAATTATACAAACAGAAAGTACATCGATAATAATTTATAAAAGTATTTAATTCCCAACCCCTCTTTTGTAAAAGTACATTTCCATTTGATAAAGGTAAAGATGTCAACTATTTGCAGGTAAAAATTTCATCTGTTTTCACTTTGTTAATTATTACATAACTCTAGACTAGCAGGTCGCAAGTTACCCTTCATAAAGGTTGGTCTGGATCGACCTAACTTTCTTCAGCTCTCCCGTCATGTAACTTTAAAGCCAGTATCGCAGCCAGTACGTGGCGCGGATCACGATGATCACAATATGAGTATGAATAGACCAATGTCACCTCACATCAGTATTTATGCCTTCGATATTATAAGTAAAATTTCGATATCGCATAGAATTACAGGTAAAACAAAAGCAATAACGTAAACATTATTAAATATATTTTTTTAGGAACGATGTTGGGGGGCTATACGATTCTGTTAGGAACTGGCGCGTTAGTTTTACCGAATAAAGTATCTCACTATGTTGACGCATTGCAGGCCATGCATCCCGGTGCGGCATCGATCCTTGCCCTGAAACTCGTACTCGCCGCTCCCTTCGCTTATCACTTTTGTAATGGCATACGACATCTTGTTTGGGATACAGCACGGTTTCTAACACTGTCAGGAGTTCATAAAACTGCCTATATAATGTTGGCATCTACATTTGTGATGCTGATTGCTTTGTTGTTTAAGTAATTGTACTCTTGAGAATTTCGTTTTATGCAGTTGTAAATATGTATTGATAAAATGGCATGAACACCAAATTAAATAATGTTTTGTTAACAGAGAATATTGCGGTTTTTTGTTTTTTTTTTTGTTATATTTTGTCTTGTTAATAAAATTTCGTAATTGCGAGAATGTTTAAACTACATATAGGTACAGTGCGAGTGTAAAGTCTGGAACCATCACAATAAATATTTTAGTAAACGTTTTTGAAAAAAATCCTCGAACATGTCAATTTTTATTTTAAATAAGAGAAATTTTACTGTAATTGTCACATAAGGATTACCTTTTGTTTTTAAGGTATGATGTAAACGATACTTTTTTTAACTCAAAAGCATATTTATTTATGTTGAGTTTGGAAAGACTCCGAAATTCTAAAACGAAAAAAGAGTATGATACTATATTTTGAAATATTCGAGATAATCGCTTCAAAAGTTTTAAAACCAAAAACTTATACCTAATATCAATCAAGAGTTCCAAATTTTAATAAAAAAAAATTAAGTAGCCTTGTAACAATTGCTGTTAAAGTGATGCAAAGTCGAAAAGACGCTAAATACCTCTACAGTGGGCCGTATGAATAAAAGTAAGCAAATGCTTATACTTGCAAAACTCAAAGTAAATACTCGTAACTGCCCCTTCATACTGGTCTTTTTAGCATGGTTTAGCAGCGCTGCCCTGCGTCCTGTCCTTCTGCTTAGAAGCGCTGCTAAGTCGCCCAGTGCGAAGGAGCACTTACGAGTATTTACTTTGAATTTTGCAAGTATAAGCATTTGCTTTACTTTTATTCATACGACCCATTGGCCCGTATGAATAAAAGTAAGCAAATGCTTATACTTGCAAAATTCAAAGTAAATACTGGTAACTGCCCCTTCATACTGGTCTGTTTAGCATGGTTTAGCAGCGCTGCACTGCGTCCTGTCCTTCTGCTTAGAAGCGCTGCTAAGTCGCCCAGTGCGAAGGAGAACTTACGAGTATTTACTTTGACTTTTGCAAGTATAAGCATTTGCTTACTTTTATTCATACGGCCCATTGTCCTGAAAAAGCGCTTAAAGGGTTTTACAGGTCGTCATAGGTTATTCTCATACAGGTGCTTATTAAAAGCGCCCTGGACGTTTTTTCGCTCTTTCCAGAAAGGCACTATAGGAAGCTTGGAAAAGCGCACAAAAATTACAATGAGAAGAGAATTTTATTGTATATTTAGATAATTAGCTATTTATTTATCAAGTCTGTCTGTCTGTATTTATGTGACAATTAGAAATGCATTACCTGTACCTATACGCGAGGTTCCATGGAGTTGTACTGTTTATTTGTTTGATATTTGTGTAATTTGTTTCACTAAAAGTAAAAGTGTAATGACTTGTTTATTAGACGGTTTTGAATGAAACTATACGGATGAGGTAATGTCTGGCGCATTTTTGCAAATTTATTTGTAAAAAGGTTGGTCCGCTGGCTGGCGGCAACTGCGGGCCAGTAGAATAACGCTTGTAGGAAGACGAGGAGTGTACATGTACATACTGGGGTCATGTAATTAACAACTTTAAGGACGGGGCTATTACAAGATGTGGGACCGGCACCGTCTGGGCGCCATCCCCGAGTGTGGTGTACTAAACCTGGAGATTTTTCATTTTTTCCTATCTTCTTCTACAGTTTTAGTCTGATTGTTTTCAAATTGGTGTCGTCGGAAAGATCTCGTAAACACGCACAACCACTGTGTGGCGGACTTTTGTTTTTTTTCCGAGGGACGAAATTAACCCCCTTACACAAGGCGCGCGTCTTCGTGGGGTAATCGACTTCGGGCGCCCAAAACGTAACTTCCGCTGAGAATTTTGTACGCGGTTTAAAGTTTCTTTTAACTTTCAAAACTTCAAACGCGAATTGCGAAGAACGGGACGTTATAGGAAGTGGGTACCAACAAAGAGAATGTGGATATAGCCTTGTACAAGATTTTATTGATGGTGAAGTCAAAACTGGCTACTAGAATACTGATCTGCCACACAAAAATGCGCTGAAGTCCCTTCGATATCACACGAGGACTTTGATCATTTTTTAAATAATAATTTTACGGTGCTCCAGTTTCGTTTCGTGTTTACTCCTTGCTATGGAAAACAGAAATAGATCTTGATTTGATGCATAGGAACATTTACCTACTTGTACAAATGTACACCCTATATAAACCAAATAAGGAATTACGTTTCTGCAGGGCTTTACCTTATACAGGCTGTTTCACACCCATCCGTTACCTAAAAGTAAATTCCCATACAATTTAAATCTAAAAATTTGAATACCAACATAGTTCTTGATTATCTATCGAAGGAAAATATTAGGTATCATGATCGTTTCACTTTCGGTTTTACCGGATTTGGACCACAACTTTCTTATTTTAAATAGAACACCCTGTATTTTATTGCATTTTCGAAATCTACATGAAAGTCTACGTCGTTTGATACCACATTTTCCTATACCCAGCATCAAAGGTTTTCAAGCTATTCAAGATTTTTCAAATTTTTGACTTTTGACTGCTTTTCTTTAGGTAGGTATCTGTACCTATGACTCCGTTGACTTGAATTTTAAAAAGTCTTCCAAAATCAAAAATACTGACTTCATGCTACATGAGAACGATTTAAATTTTGATAGTCCTTCTACAGTGTGTTTCAAAGCTACTGGTCAATTTTAGTTTAAATGATTACATTCCCTATACCTATCTGTTATGATTTTCGTTTTATTTAAGATTTTCTAAAATTGAGACTGTTATGCATCATTTTCATAGTAGGCGTTGAAATAAATATGCGTTAGTAGATTCCATTGTGCCATTCTGGTACAATGGCATTACCTGGGGAAAACTACTTGGTTTCAATTTGATGAAGCGCCGGCTCATTCTACCTATGATGCTTATATATCTTTGCACATTTTTGAAAAGAGATGGATTAGATTAGGTCTACAGATCCGCAGTATTAGTCTTCTAGATATCCAGATGTAAAGCCACTGGATTTTTATGTGTAGGGTAATAAAAACATTTGAAACTTGAAACTTTGACATATGCCTGGCGTCGCCGCCTCTCCCAGGATTTAGTCAACTGTCGTGAGGATGCGTCCCTGGTAGACACTATCAGGGACGTTTCTCCACTACTTTGTTGCCATCGTGCTGGGCCGCGACATATGCCAAACAATGTGGTGGATTTTGTGGATTGGGGGGGTTGTGGGGGGGCGGCTAACTGGGTGTTATCCGACCCGAACGGGCACGGCCACAGCTTCGCCACTGGTATTCTGCCTTAGAGGGAACTCTGCTTTCTAGTGATAGCTTCTTATCCGGGCGTTCATTAGGCTTCCGATGTTCCTATCCTTTGGTCTCGTTCCCTTCCCGGTTTTCCCTCGTGTTAGGCACTTTTTTTTGTTGTCCTCTCCCTGCGTTACTTTCTGTCCCCTTTTCCTCCACCCCTTGGCTTCTTCCTCCACCTCCAGTGTTCTTCTGCTTTCTTTCTTCCTTGATGTGTGTCTTTGCTCTTTTCTTCCCATCTTCCCAAGTAGGGTAATAAAAACATTTATTTTTTAATTTATTTTTTGAGAGGCGACTACCAATAGAGTTCATCAGAGGATGTCATTATGTATTGAAAAAAACGATGGCCACGCAGAACAAAACCTCAATTAATCAAGTCAGTATTTTTGACAAACTGATGAAATTCAAGTCAACGGAGTCATAGGTACGGGGCCCTAAAGAAAAGCAGTAGAACGTAATAAAGTTTGAAAAATCTTGAATAACTTAAAGACCTTTGATGCTGGTGATAGGAAAATCAAACGACATAGATTTTCATCTAGATTTCGAAAATGCAATAAAATACAGGGAATTCTATTTAATATAAGAAAGTTCCTATCCACATCCGGCGAAACCGGAAGTGAAACGATTATGATATTTTCTTTCAATAGATAATGAAAAACTATAGGTATGTTGATGGTATGCAAATTTTTAGATTTAAATTATTAATGTGTCCCTGCCGTCTACGATTTCCGGAAGTAAATAATCATTAAAAAAAGATTTTAGTTTTTGTAGCATCTCGACCTGCCAAAACCTTTCATCAACGCAAATCCTCTCTATTGAAACTTTCGGCTAAATAGCAGGAAGTCATACAGAATTGCCTCTTGGTGTAGTTCAACTGACCCTGTACTGAAAATTAATTAATTATGGGTTCTTTTTAATTTATGCCTACCCTCCACTAAATTAAAGCACGAATTTCTTTGCGGATTGTCGAAGTTTTCTACCCAATGCAGACATTTTACCTACTTCGACTAATTACCTAGATATCCTATACCCCTCTTCATCTTCCTAGACGGCGGCTTGACGGCATTTCCTATTACTCATACAGCTGAACTGCACTTTCTGAACTTCTGCACAATAAAATGAATTGCTCACAGATAAAAGTGATCAATCGTTGATATTGTCGCTGATTTCAATTTTTTATATAAGTAAATAATTATTATTTAATGTCACTGATCTGAACCTGTTTGTATTGGGTAAGATCGTATGAAGTCCTGAACAAAACTAAATAAAATTTAGGTAAGAATTATACCATGTTGTAAAATGTGATTGGGTATTTTCGCCGATAAGACGCAAAGAAACCCATCCCATGAGTGGTGGAAGTTGCAATTTTATTAGCCTAAATATATAGGCGGGATTTAGCGCATTTTAAGAGAAATTCAGTAATTAAACAAAGGGTAATTAATAATTATAAACGATTTAAAATGTATAGTTTTTAACAGAACATACTACAGACATATCGGTATATACGAAAATTTAAAAAACACTTTTTTGAAGTTTTTTACTAATTAATTAAAATGTAATTAACATTTCACAGAATGCAATATACCGATATCTGTATTATGGTTTAACCTAACTAGTTATAAAATTTGAACACTATAGCTTTTATAGAATCGGACTTATGATTGAATGAAATTTACATTTTTTAAGACTTTAAATAATTTTTGACAAAAAAGTACAGCTCCAATTCAAATTTCCTTTTTAGGATACCTTCATAGAAGTAACTGCTGTAATATAACTTCTTAAAATTAATCCGATCACAGCAACTTGATTTTAGTACGGTAGACCCTTAATCATTTATATATCAGATATATCTGGGTCGAGTATCATAGGCTAAAGTACTCCGAAAGCACAATTTCCTAAGTGGATCTATAGGGCGTGGATTTTCATTGGAACAGATTTTAACGAGGGTGGACTGGGGGAGGTCCTTCAGGTAGCGAATATTCTGGGGCAACCCTCAAGCGCAAATTTACCAGGTCGAGTTTTCCAACATGAGTTACCAGAGCATTCAGCATTGTGGTGAGCATAAAGTAGCAGAGTAACGTAGTGATATATATAAACCTATAAATAAACTTGTACCATTACAATAGGTAGATAAAAATATAGCCACTATTTGAATAATTAAAACAATTGCAAATTATCCTTTCAAAATAAACACACATACAAAACTGGTTGTATTTATTCTACAAATGTTAAACACAACAATCAAATTACTGCAACTAATATTAAAATTAAGCTAGGAACGAACAAGCACACGATAATTATACACGATACAATGTAATGACGCAGAACAGTTTACAATTACATACACATAATCGTAACCAATATCACCTTTTCGCCTACTCTGTAACTGTCGCAAGTCATCACCATGTATAAGTGAAAACTATATATTAAAATTTTATTTTACAAGCAATTACAGACATATTCATATAAGTTTACACTATGCCCAAATTAAAAAATAAATACATAACAATATTTTATAACTTTTATTTACAAATAGAAAAATTCAATTAGTCGAATTAAATGTGGACCAAGTCACTTTGGTCTTCGGGGGGAGGGGAGAAACATAAATCAGTCACTGGTATCAAGCGCAAGGTGATGTAAAAATATGATTCGAACATTAAAATAAATAATGTTTGTTCGTAAAGTATACTATACACGTTTTAATCAGTATTTACAGAAAGAACTATTCTGCGAATTTGAAAATTGAATTGGTCTTACGATTTTGATGTTGACAAATAAATAAGACTTTATAATTTGTACTATCGGAGATTTCTCTGTAAATTTACTCTACTAATATAAATAAATAATTTATAATTGTCCAAGTAACCCTACGAAAGGTACCCACCTTTCAGGCAAATGTGGACAACTCGAGAACCATCCATGCGACGCATTTTAAAAATAGCATTAATAGAATCGTCTTTTACAAAGACGTTTTCAACAATGTCATGGTTTCCAAGAAAAATAATTTACAACTGAGCGGCCAAATTGTTTGGTCTGTTTTCAGAAATAAAAAAATTATAGCAAAAAAACACTTTGCTGATATGAAAATCGGAGCTGTCGTTTTGTTTACCCTTACGACGTGCTTTGAAAGAAATTCTGCAATTGCGTTATAGTCGACCGTTCTAATAAGCACAAATCAAAATCGAAGGTTTGTGCAGATACCTCAAAACGTCCGGTTTCTGCTATTAACTGCACAACCCGCTGCAACTCCGAGTTATCTTGCAACGTTAAAATTTTATGTTGCAAATCTCTTAAAATGTTCATATAATCCTCGTAGTTCTCATCCTCTTGCTTTTCATTTTGTGTGCAATTTTCCGCGTCCGATTCCTTCGAATTGGAAGATTCTTCTTTCGCGACTTTTTCTAACGGTTCCTCCAGTCTCGCGTTGTCGGACTTTCGTTTACGTTTCTTCTCGGAACTTTTCTCCATCTTTTTATCTTTATTCTTCTTCACCTTTTCGCGTTTCAATTTAGTATTATTATCGGGCTCGGGCCTCATTTCGGGCTCCTTCTTCGGCTCGTGTTTCACGGTCGGCGGTTCATTAAATAAATCCTCGTGACTGCTAATCGAACTGTTCGACGAATTGTTATCGGTAAACTCCGCCATTAACGTACCTAGTGGCTTTTTAGGCTTTTCCTGTACCTTTAAATCGTTGGAGGATGTCTGTTTCGGACTGCTGAAGAGACTCTTCTCTTCTTTCGGGAGTTCTTTGGAAGATTCTGTGTATTTTGAGTTTGAGCTTTTCTCCAATTTCTTTTCTGATTTATAAGTTTTCTCGTTTAGTTTTTCCTTTTCTTTTTTGTCCTTGTCTTTCCTTTTATGTTTGTGCTTCACTTTCTCTTCGAGTTTCTCCGCTTTGATCTTGTCTTCTTTGTCCAACTCCTCTTTTCCATCTTTGCAATCTTTCAAAATGTCTTTCTCCTTAAACAGTTTTTCTTTGCCTCCATTTTTTGGAGGCAAAGGACTAGGTTCCTTGTGCTTATCTTTCTCTCGCGACAAGCTTTTGTTTTCCTTCTGTTCTATGGATTTATGTTCCCGTTCCTTATATTTACTATCCTTCCTTTCCTTTTCCTTGTCACGTTTTTCTTTCTTCAACCTTTTTTCGAGCTTCTCGCGCTCGTCTGACTTACGATCTTTTGGGATCTCAATTTTTTTATCATCTTTGTCCTTATGTTTTGGTAACGGCGACGGGCTCAAAGTTCTTTTCGTAGGCGTCTCACTTCTTGCTTTGGGCGATTTTTCTCTTTTTTCCTTTTTGTCTTTGCGTTCTTCGCGATCCTTACTACGTTCCTTTTTTTCCTCACGTTTCTTTTCTTCGCGAGTTTTCATGTCTTTTTCGCGATTTTTTTCCTTTTCTTTTTCTTTATGCGGACTGTGTTTGTTTTTTGATTTGTCCTTCTCACATGTGCCTATAAAGAAGCAACTGATTAGCAATGGGATCAATATAAAGCGTTTTGTGAAGCTGGTCCTGAATCCAATTCCATTCAGTCCTGCCATTTTCTACTTGAAAGTACCTTTAATGTACAGTCTTTACTTCTCAATGTACCCTCTCAATTTAGAAGATACAGGCGTCTCCAGTTCAACTTGGTACATTAGAATACACTGAAGATACTTTACCGTTCATGGGGTGAATGGAATTGAGTCGGGAAACAACGCGAATACAAAATACTTACTCGATTTACTAATATTAATATTTTTGTTTTTAACAACTGCTTTTGCATCAACCGATGTTTTCGAGGTTTTTGTGATAGGCGCACCAAACAATTCGTGGAAACTGTTTCGAGGTTCTTCAACTTTCATTTTGTGTTTCTTTACAACATCAGATCCGCCAAGCTTGGGTTTACTAATTAACAACATTTTCTCATCAAGCGTAGAACGATTGTCTGCACTCGCTTCTTGAGAATTAACAATCTAAAATAACATTCAAATAAAAGACCACCGCACTAAAACAAATAACGAGGGGAAAACCATTTATACAGTTGGTGTACATGAGTTACCTCATTTTAAAGTTTACAAATTTTTGTACAGTGTATCCCCTAATTCCTTAAACATTCGGTTGCAGTTAGTAACAGTACACGACACACTGTCCTCAAAATGGACACATTTAACACTAGTTAAAGAGGTGGTCCAAAAACTACGGTTTTTTGAATCTGGAGGAGAAGAGTTACCGTTCCGAAAAATTAAAAATTCAATTAGTGATGCAACAGACCTCTGCTTCCGCTTCCGCAAGTGCGGAAGTTCTACATATTTTTTTCACTTACACGTTTTATCGCATAGTGTAATGATGATTTGTACCAATATCACTATTTACATGATATTTCCAAATAACAAATTCAAAATAAATTGTATTCAACCAACCAACATTGCAAAATGTAAAACACGCCACCTTAAAAGTTGTGATGTATTACGTTTCCGAGAGAGGCGAGGTGGCGCAGCCGAACATATTTCTTATCAAAATCAAAAATCTTATTAGAAATCAAAATTGAAAAAATTTCCATACACTACCTGGGCACCCTAAAACGAAGTTAAAAAGTTGTATTCCCTCAAACCTTATAGCGTACGTTACGAGGGCAGCATCTTATAATGCAAAGCAATTTAATCCCTTAACCTATGAGATTTGATAAAAATAAGCGCTTTATGATATTGGTCCTTTGAGCCGAATCAAATTTCGCCTTTTAGAATATTGCAATGCCATTTAAAACAACTCATAAGGACAATTTTAAAATGATTAAGCAAATTCAAAAAAAGTGTCTGATACGAAAACACCAGTGATAGAGTTGTTAGCCTATCTCAGAGCCTATATAAACATTGTTTGGATTATGGTTCATACCCTTGCCTTTTGCATATTTTTGGTATGGGACGTTTTAATAAAAATTTGCCATACAGAGTCTCCCACTAAGAATGCCAGGTATCGATATCTCGGAGACAACATTTTGAAAGTATCAGAGAAATTTGTCTAAAATATTTTCAATTTGGCAGACCAGAGTTATGCCTTTGCCCATTTTTCTATACCTTTTATAATCAGCCTTAGAAGATCTCTGAGCTCTCAACACTGGCCATGACAAATAAGCCACCCTGCACAGGCAAAATTCGTATATGACCCAATATGTTGTAAATGCCTGGCATGGATACAGCCAATGCACTTCCAAACTTAAGATTGTAGTCTGATGTACAACGAACCTTGAAGTGGTTTTCCCCTCGAAAAACGATACCACTTACCATGCCTCCACCCTGAAGCAATTTAAATTTGAAATCTTCTCCTGGCGTATTAAATACGTATTTCTTGGTTTGAACATCACTAATTGGAGCACCATCGGATTGTAAATGAAGATCATGCGTTAAAGTGATTTTCTTCGGCTCATCTTTATTGCGTAAATATATTTCTATAGGCAACGTAAATCCAGCGTATCCTGATTCTTTCACCATATACGGCGGTTCTTTGATTACTGTAAGTCAAACGTTACTTTTATTTGAAAAAAAGCAGACGACACATACCTCTTCTTGGTCTTGGGAACGTTTCGTGTAGATAAAACACAACCTTTTCTACATAATGATGTATGTTAGCACCGTCGCATCCCCGTACGAATACTACCCAATCATGTGTAAATCCCTCCTGTGTACATTTTGCACGAATAGCAGCTTCATGACCAATTTCGAAGTTGATTCGCACAGACATAATTCATAGTTTCATCTTACGTCCATTCAACAAAACGGGGTGACCATTTCGCAATTACATTTTATATTTTTGAAATTCTAACGAAAATAAAGGGTTGATTAACTTTTTAACCTAATGTGTGCTTTTCCTGACAAATTTCCTTCTTAAATTGCCGCCATTCATATATAGTGAAGAATTACAATGAAAATGCATATAATTTAAGTTTCTGAAAAATGGTTTAATGTTGTCATAAACATTTGTTGATGCGAAGATATGCAAGTTTTATAAACAAACTTATAATTGTTGTTTTCTGTCAAAATTTGATTACGAGAAAACATGCAGCGCCACCTAACTGTCAAATGCCTTTACAACTGAACTAATATTCCAGTGGCCGCTCGTCAACTACATAATCCCATAACGAACACGGTGACTCCGTTTTTTCAACGCTACGACTCAAGGTTGTTTTATTAGAAAGGTTGTCTGGTAACTCTAAACCAATAGTATGCTTTAAAATTGCTCATAGGTTACAATGCTAATAAAAGGGGTAAAAAAATTAGTTTTTGCAGTATATTTTTGGATTTATATGGGTATATGTATATAGGGGTGGATCTTATATTGGAAATCTTGGAAGTTTATCGACTTCCACCTTTGAAAGCAATCAAAGTATTGAAAAAATGAGTGTGGTGCGTAAGCTGTTTTACATTGCACGAGGACTTGTGAAACTGTAATCAAATTAATTTTAGAGGTGGATAAAATTCCGCGTTCTACAAAATAGGAACCACCCGCAGGGGCGGACTGGGTAACTGCGGGCCAGGAATTGCATGGGGGGGGTTAGCTCTGAGGTGCACCCCTTTCTCGAAAATAAATTACCATACAGTTTTTTTTTAAATTGCAGCTAATTAAAGGTAACAAAATATACAATCCACACGAGGTGCGTCACCTATCATTGTATTTCAGCACTTTCATGCTACGACAAAAAAATGATAAATTCATTGTAAAACACTTCAATTAAAACAGAATTTTTTAACAACCTAACATCAACCCCAATTAGAGAAACGTGTTAATAATTTATTAATAGTGCAAGAAACTAAATACAGCACATACTTATAAATTTCCAACGGGCCATTATGATCTACAGGCCAGGTGGCAATCGCCACCCGCCCCCCCGGGCCAGTGCGCACCTGGTTATACACTGCCTTTTTTTGAGCCCCGAAAAAAACATTGTCTCAGATCGCCCCGGAAAAAAAATTTTCTTATAGAATGTGGCCTGTAGAATCCATAATTTCAAACAGTTCCAAGATTGGGCTACTAGTTCAAAAGTTACAGCCCTTTGAATTTTCTTTCGAAATTGGTTTCTAGTCTATAACTTTTGATTGAGAAGTCTGATCCAAAAAGTACGAATTGTTTTGGATTCTACGCACCAAAATTAATAAGAAAAAGTGTTTTCCCGAGAAATTTTGGTGTAGTCGAATTTTGGTAAAAAAGGAAGGTTATACACAGGGGCGGACTGGGTACTTACGGGCCATTAAGCCATTAAAGTATTAGTGTAGTAATGAAGGTGCCGGGGGGAGGTAGCTCTGAGGTGCACCACAAAAACATTTTAAAGTACTCCTTTCTCGAAAATCAATTACCATACAGTTTTTTTTTAAATTGCAGCTGATAATTAAAAGTAACAAAATATACAATCCACACGAGGTGCGTCGCCTATCATTGTATTTCAGCACTTTCATGCTACGACAAAAAATGATAAATTCATTGTAAAACACTTCAATTAAAACAGAATTTTTTAACAACCTAACATCAACCCCAATTAGAGAAACGTGTTAATAATTTATTAATAGTGCAAGAAACTAAATACAGCACATACTTATAAATTTCCAACGGGCCATTATGATCTACAGGCCAGGTGGCAATCGCCACCCCCCCCCCCCCGTGCCAGTCCGCCCATGACCACCCGTATGTATTAATACCTAGGCTTTGGGAATTAAAACTCTAAACATTCTTTAGCGGATGACGCCAAATAAAATGCTGTTGCGTTTTATGGAATATGTATATTTATAGTATGTACAAAATGGTAACCGATGTGCACACTGCGAGCTCTGTCGTTGGGGTGAGCCCAGATGCAGGTCTTCTGACTGATGGAGTGTGGCGCGAGGTCGAGCTGGCAAGGCGACCTGGTTCTGCAGGTGAAGAGCTTTTTGTTTCTTGAAGTGCAGCCGAAGCAGAAATTGCGTTGCACTTTGCAGAGTTCGTGGCTCTGCTTTTAAACGTTTGCGGCCAGGGACGCTACGCTTTCATTGGTTGACCGTTTTGACCAATGAGGACGCAGCACATTTTAGTTTGGTGCCGGATGTGAAACTTTTCTTACCCATTCTTTAAGAACGGTAGCGTCTTTGGGAAACGTGAAAACCGAGATTTTATTTACCGTGTTACCGCCACTCATCCAAAAAAATACTTAATTATAACATACAAAAGTGCATATAATTGATGAACTAACCTTTCAATCACGGCTATGAAAACCCACAAAATTCGCAAACTAAATGTCTTTATATTGCACCAAACAGGTATCTACAGCAAATATATGTCCTTATGCACTTCAAAATTCAACAAATTTTAAAGAAATAAACTATAACTCAAGAATAATAAGCACCCGCGCGACTACAAACAACGTTGAACGTCAATGTCTGAATTCTCGATGACGTATACATTCCGTCCCTCCCGCTTCCGCCCACATAGTTACCAGGTAACCTTTGGAATAAAATAACCTTGGCTACGACTAACTTTCAAACTTTAGAGCCTTATTAACCATCAATTCGCATCACATTTTTACGAAAGCGCGTAAGGGGCAATACTGAACACAAGGTGTAAGCAGCCCCTGGTACTTCTCTATGTACGCCTATGGTAGTATGAAAAAAACCACATAAATCACGTGTTTTGGATTGACTAATGGCGCCTGTACGTTTATCAGTTGTCAATTTACAACTCAACTAATCATTCCAAAACCATTTAACATACGGCGATAACGCATTTGCTTTCGAATAGTATTAGAAATATGGCTGGTTGTGTTCCATGTTTTATAATTCCTCTACTTCTCTTCATTTTCCATCGCTACATTCAACCCATTTTGTTGAAGTTTTGGAATCCATGGGAAAAAGTTAAAGACAAGGAGGAATCTCAGAAGGACCCCCAGCCAAAAAAGAAGATTATTGATGACACAACAGAATTTGCAGATATTTTAAAAGGAAATGTATGTTATAGAAAGTAGTTAACATTATATTGTATTGATAAAATTAATAAAGGAATGAATTGTTTTTATTTATACAAAAGTGAACTTATTCGAAACTTACAATATAGAATACAAGGAACAAAAAACATAAAAATGCAAGATTTTAGATAACATTTTTAAGTTCTACATCAAAGATTAAAGTGGCATTTGGCGGAATGGCAGGTGGCGATCCTTTTTGGCCATAGCTGCAAAAAAAATGTGTCGGTGATCAAGTTTATATGAATATAAGTCAAAGCTTACGCCATTGGTGCAGGACATGTTATACGTCGACGTCCACCAACTTTCATTCCAACAACCCCCACATCCCACCCTTTAATCACTTCTTGTTTTCCCAGCCGAAACTTGAATCCAGATCCTTTGTTACTTTGGTCAAACAACTTATTATTGTTTTTTAATCTTCCTTCGTAATACACTTGTACAACTTTTCCAGACTTAGCGATTGCTCCTTCGCCTACTCTAATATCTTGAATTACCACACCACCCTCAACGGTCCTCTTTTGTTGCGGTGCATTTTTCTGATCCTTTTGCTTCGCAGCGGGTGCCTCATTTTTTGGTTTTTCATTTTTTGCCTTTTCCTTTTGTTTTTTAAGAGATTTTGGCTTTTCACCGTTCATTACTTTAATGGGTGGTTGAGGGACGACCTCCTCGTCTTCTTCATCATCATCGTCGGAGTCCTCCTGATAAGCACAAAAAAAAGTGAACCAATAACTTTAACTTTAACATACCTCTTCCTCCTCTTCACCATCCTCATCTTCTTCTTCCTCGGCATCGTCATCACTTGACATTACATAGCTATCGTCATCTTCATCATTTGTATCGAAATCTTCTTTTAGTATTGATTCAAGTTTAGATTTTTTGGATGCCGCTAGAAATAAACCATTACTACTTACTCCTGAGCAAGTTAAAAAATATGTACGTTTCTCATTAGGTGAAAGGCTTAATCTCTTCTGTTTTGAAACTTGTTTTTGTGCGACTTCTTCCTCATCGGCTTCACCCTCCTCCTCTTCCTCTTCCAAATCACCATCTAAATAATCGAGTTGATCTTCTTGTAAATATCCACTTAGGTGAATATTACAATTTCCGTTCGTTGCGAATACAACTTCGTCACCTGCCTAACAGAGAAATAAGTATACAGTGCAATTTACCTTCAAACTTTACCTCAAAATTTAGATCCAAGGGGCACTGCACCGTATGTCCCTTTTGAAGAGTACATAGTAAGTAGTTGCGGTTTTCAAAAAATAGCATTAATTGTGTAGGATTATCGTCTGCAGAAAAGAGGTCCAAGGCTGCCATAGAGATATGGAATGCACGCTTCACTGATTGTGAGTAGCGCCGTTTCGGCTCCATTATTAAACCTAGAAATCGTTACCATTTAGAAAACACGTGCTTTGCTACTGTTGTGGAAAGTTCTTCACAAGAAATTGTAATACTTACCCCAAAACATGTTGTAAATAATTTAAATTATAAAAAAGGCCGAATAGAAGAAAATAGTTGTACTGAAAAAACCAAAATTTTGTGATTAAAGGCGGGAAAAAACAACCTTTACATACAATGGCGGCAGATGAGCACCACTGCGAACGCCGTGAGCAAATGAAATGAAGCCACCAGTGGTGCCGCAGCTATTTGCATTCGCCCCTCCACAATGCAACGACGCCAATAGTTACCAAGTTAGGCTGAGGCCGCATGAGCATCTTCGATAAAGTCTGCTGCTCTGCCTCTGTCATGGAATCTAAAATTTCCTGTCACAAAGTAAGAATGAAGGTTTCGGGACGATTTTGGGTATAGACTATTTTGACACGTGATAACACTCAAAATATGTAAAATAGAGATGAATAACAAACAAAATGCATTGAAATATAGTTTTTATTTCAATGCCAAAATGCTACGTTGACTAAAAGTACTTTGCACTTCAAAATTAGGTAAATCAAAAGTGATGTGAAAAGTTGCGAAGTTACTTTATGAAACAGGCGCCTGATATGGTTCCCCGCAACGGAATTGATCACCTTAAGAAGGGAGTGGTTGCAAAAGAGGACAGGTTCGTATATCAGGCGGCGGGTATAGAGCGAGAAACAACTTGGGAAAAGACGCGGATTCGGCTAAAAACCCTTTCGAAACCTATAAAAAGCCAGTGGTCTGGATTCCGGAACATATGAAGGAACCGGAAAAGATAGTTAAGCGCCTGGGTAAACAAATCCGAGCGTTAGCGTTACTACCGGAGAGTAATGGGACGGATGTAGGGCCCTAAAGAACAACAGCTGGCTGTCCTGAAGGTCTAGTCCACATGTTAGCGCCACTGTGCCAGCGTGAATTGTCAGTGGGGTTCAAAATGGCGGACAAATCAGCTGTGGTACATACCTATGTCTGTAACTCTGCACTACTACGGGAGACATAAGGCCGTTAATTGTGCCACTACGCATTCAAATGTTAACCTACAATTTTATTGCAAATATCATAAACAAATATGAATATTTCGTGGATTAGTATAACACCAAAGTATAAATGCAGTTTATTCTTAAATAGTTACCCACAGTTTATTTTAGGTTGAAAACTGGTATCGATATAATAAATTCAATAGAAAAGTCACAATTTGCAAAGCTACTTGAACAAATACACAGATTTCATTCAGAAGATCCTTTCTCACAGTCCGAACTACAGGAATTGCAGGAAAATTTAGGTTTAAACTTGAAACAACTGGAACTCCTCTTGCAAACTGCCTTTTACATATTTAAACAAAGTCTCAAGGTTATTTTAAAACCAACTGGCTTACAGAAGCAGCTAGTAGAAGCCTTAAATTTTCGTGATGACAAAGCAGAAGAATTCGTTAAAGCTTGGACAATAGTAACGAAACGTGATTTTGGGAACTTGGAAGATCGATTTAATTTAACCGAAATTTCGTGGGAATTAAACTTACAAACGTCTTCCCCTCTTCAGTCCAAGGAACTTACCCCAAATCTGCAATTGAAGCTAGGTTTAACTAAAACACACTCAGTTGATGAAAAAAACATTCTTCTAGAACTGGATGAAAAGGAATTACTTCAGTTATATAATACATTCGAAAATATTCAAAATAAAATTGATTTTCTGCAACGAAACGATTAAAATGTAGAAACATTTTTTTATTCGCATTAAGTGAGATTTACAATAAAGCTTTTCTGTGCATCAGTACTCGGTGTCAAATTATGTGGAGATACGTTTGTAGGTTTACTCGACATTGTAGCTCCCGCTAGCAACATACTGATTGATCCCTGAAGAGCAGTTAATTGATTACCCAATTCTGCTTCTTTGTGCAATACAAGATTCACGCTTTGTAATGCGGTCTTCACTTCACTTGGAAGTAATTGCACACTATCTTCATAGACATCTAAAAATGCATTAAAGACGTCAATCAATACGACCGTGAAACGATAATTTGTGATATTTGTTCTGATAAAGCGTAAAATCTGTAAAATGAACTTGGTGTCTCTTCCTTTTAAAGTTCGTTCTAATGCACGGCGCCTAATCAGTTCCTGCATAACTGCGACAGTTTTCTGTGGATACTTCTTAGCTACGTACGGAAGTAGAGCCTTATCTAAAGCTTTTGAATAACAAAACTTTCGAAAGCAAGTATCTATTTTAGACTGCTCCTGTTTCACATTTTCTGGTACAACTACGTCAACCGCATTAGTGTAGGAATGAGCCAAATATTTGTATGATGCAAGTTTTTCTTCTCTTTTCGTAACCTGTTGTTCTTTCTTACGACTTACGCATACCAATCCATCAACTAAACCTGCTACCACCGAATCGTCACCTTTTGAGACTCCCAAACTTAAAATTGCATTAGGATAGTCAATTGTGTACACCACTTGAAAGGTGTTAATATCGTAAACTTTAACATGTCGGTCTAAACTTCCCGATAAAAGGCGTCTGTTGTCACTTGCAAGACGCAAGCACGTTACGGTTTTGTGATGTTGGGATATGCAACCTAGAAGTTTTCCACCAGCGATAGAATCCCAAATTTTAATATCTGTGCCGCCTGCAGATAAGAATATGCCACCTGATGGTAAGTAAAGCAGAGACTCTACCGGGCTTCCATGGTTTACAGATAAAACTAGTTTATTGCTTCTGGTATCGTACATTTTTATCATGCTATCGTATCCGCCCGAAAGTACGATATCGGGTATTGAGCTGCATATTGCACCTGCTCTTATATAGTCATTATGCTCACTATACGATGAAATTTCTTTTTCCGTCGGTATATCCCACAATTTAACAGTTTTGTCATCACTCAAAGAAACGATTTGGGGTTTATCGTGTAGGAAAAATGTTCTATGAACCGGTGCCGTGTGACCTTTAAACAGTCTGAGAAGTCCTTTTGAAGAGACATCAAACAACTTTACATTTGCTTCTTCGCCTCCTGCGCACAGCAATTTACCATCGTAACGAAATGTGGCCCCATACGCATTCTCTCTAAATCTTGATAAATTCTTTACTACCAACTTCGTTATTGGATTATAAACTTGCACTCGTACAGAGCATGTCACCGCAAAGTAATAAGGTTCAACTGGAGAGAAATCGATGTAGTCTATTGGGCCATATTCTTTAACTAAAACTGGAGCCTAAAATGTAAGGCTATAATAACAGCAAGTTGTATGATTTTAATAATGTCATAGTTACCCCAAATTTCTTCCAGTATAAATCGTCTTGTGTTAAAATTGCATTCTTTTTTTTGTAAATTTCACTATTCAGTTTTTTGAATGATGCCATTTTCTAGGTTAGGTTTTTGTGGTTATTTTGCACATGTTAGGAAGAATCACATCCAACGTTGCCAAGTGTAGTATTATTACTACGATTGCCATGACCAGTGGTGGGTGCTCTTATGCAGATGAATGGGCGAAAGCCTAGTGCGGCAAATTTAACACGGTTTGGTTTCTGCATCACCGGATCATCGAATATCATGAAATCAACGTTTATAAAATTATCTCCCAACTCAAATGCCACAATTGCAAAGGCAGTGAAATATCCCTTCCCTACCTTCAAAATTCTTTTTTGAATTTATGTAGAATTGTTCCGAGACGTTTTTTTTGTGCAAAATTGAAAAGCGGGTACCCAAACCCATAAAAAATCCATAGGTGTGATTGTTGAGAAAAAACAGTGTTTTTTAAATTTAATACTTGGAATCACGACGTAGAGTGGAAGAAATGAGATCCTTTCTCAAACATAAAGGCGCTTGCTTCACAGCTTTCAAAGGGATCGAAAAACACAAAGTGACATGTGTGTTGCCTAACGTTCGGCGCATTCTTATTGACGTTTTATACCGTTATTGCTCTTAGGATCGTACTAATGGCAACGCTGGAATCGCAAAATAGTTGGGCTTTGTACAAACTTTAGGCGAATGCTGTGGTTTTTAGTTTTGTGGTTATAATTTACTATGACTTGAAAGTAAATACCAGCCTTATTTGTTAGAATGAATTGGTCAGATGCTACGTAAAGCGCTTAGGTTTGAGCGAAAAAGGGCTAAATTCGCGTGACCCTGCGTTGGAGAATGTCTAAAACACGTATGGTTTCAATTTATGGATGTAGATCGTCTTGCTCCTTTAATTATCGAATTCAAGAACGCAGGACTCGCGCGAAAGCCCTACGCCTGGAACATAATCGCAAACCAGACAAACCGGAGGACTTCATAACGTACGAGGATAGTGACAGTGAAGAAGAGACTTCAGCCGTAATAAACGAAGTTTTAAGTACCTCCTATAACTTTGTGGATTATGTGCGTACTAGAGAGTTTTTAAGTAAAGATGTACGAACTATTAACCAAGATTTCGGATCGAGACACATACTAACTCACGAAATGTTTAAAGAGACTCCCATTAATTTGGGAAATATGAATAAAGTTTTTTGTTCTCAGTGGCTTAGTGATAGACAGGTAGTTTTCGGTACTAAATGCAATAAGGTATAATACTCCCTCCGTTTTTCAATTTTCACAGACTCATTTATAGTTAATGGTTTATGATGTAGTAACTCGTTCGTTAGATCAAATACCGTCTTTAATTAGCAGACGAGACGCTCACGGAGGCGATCAACAACAGTGTGGGATACATTCTGTACAAATTAATCCTTCCCGTTCGCTGTTAGCAACTGGCGCACGAAATACTTGTGATATTGCAATATATAGATTACCCACACTGGATCCTATCTGTATTGGTGAAAATGCACATCGCGACTGGGTAAGTCTTGTAAACCTGAGTACTACAAACAATATCATTTGTAGGTCTTTGATATGTGCTGGTTAGACGATCAATTCTTAGTAAGTGGTTCGAGAGACACAAAGATGTCCCTTTGGCAAATAACACCAGATATGATAGACGAAAAGCAAGAAATGCCCACATATCAGCACGTTTCTGCTTTGGCATTAAAAGAATGTCGCACTGCTCAAAAAGTAATGAGTTTAAATGTTTAAATCGACTTTTTATGTTCGACGATCCAGGGTTGGACAAGTGAAAATTGGGGATTTTTATTTGATTTTACGGAACAAAGAGCACATCATTGAAATAATTTTTTAGTATCCAGGAATCCCTTATCCAGGAATGAGATGACACAGCTGATAGAACACTTGATTATTGGATATGATTCAAGTCTCTTATCAAATAAATAATGAGTGTAAATGTATCAACGTGACTGCACAACAATATATATTATTATTATTATTAAATAGTGCAGAGCACAGAATGATTTCTTTTGTAAAGACGCTGTCGAAAAATATTAGACAAAACTGAAATTTGCCGATTTTTGTTGTGACTTTACTTGAAGATATTTTTAGAAACAAATGACATTGCAGTTTTTCCCCCCTGCAAGCTGAAATAATTAGATTTTAAGCTCGATGTTTCGGTTTTTTTGGATCCATCGTCAACTTTATTTATTTATTTTTTATTACTTTTTGTTTCTACATTTTAAAAACTGCTGTCCTTTTCGACATTATTAATTTGGCCAGTTTCATGCCCGAAAAATGAGCATCATCAGGCCTGTGACATTGAATGAACATATTTGCACTTGGCCTGCTCCAGTAGGTCGACTAACATAAAAAGTCTGTTCTAAACATTTTATCAATTGTCTTAATTCAGGTTCGTGCTTTGACATTCAATAAGAGTTTTAAAGAGATTGCCGCCCTATCATTGAACGGCTATATCCACATTTGGAACGCAGAGACGTTTAGGCAAAAGCTATCCAGAAAGCTGCCATCGGCGCAGGAAAACGTGTGTTTGGCGGTGCAAGACAACGGATTATATGCTATTGGATGTCGATCGTACACCTTACTTTTAGACTGTAGAACTCTTCAGGTTTGTTTTTGAATGGTGGTCGAGAATTAATTATTGTTTTTAGGCTGTTAAGAAGGTGTCGTCGCGGTATTCGGGTTGTGGTATTAGGTCAGTCAGCTTTCAAGGTGATATATTAACTATAGGAACCGGATTGGGGATGCTCATGTTCTATGATCTGAAGGCAGGCAAATATCTCGAATCGAGTATAAATTCATCACGAACCGTTGTACTTAAAACAAGCAAAGGTCATGTGGTACGTGATCTTCACATATACTTCTAATATTCTTTATTTGTATTATAGTTTCCCGATGAGGAATATGTGGATAACATTCAGAATGTAAAGTATGTGCCTGCGATATATACACATTCTTACGATTCAAGTGGCACGAGACTATTTACCGCAGGCGGTCCGTTACCTGTTACATTAACAGGAAATTATGCAGGCTTATGGCAATAACAGTGGATCGCTCTTACATATTTTATTAGATGCAATTTTACTTTTTAAAATTTGATTTTTATTTATATTATGTACAATGTTTTTATAAAACCCATAAGCATGTGCACCTGATTTTATACTGTATTTTTATATTACATATACCTATAAGGATTGTACAAGAATTTCCCTGATAATGTATTGTAAGATTTAATTTTAGTTATTTTAAAAAAAATCACAAATAATCGTTATTTATTCTACAATCTGGACTTTTTTAGTTTTTATTCCCAATTTACCGTAATAAGATCTATCGGTAGTATTTTCATGTACCTAACATGAATAATTTTAGTCTACAGAGGTTGCTACCTCAGATATACAGTGTATTCATTAAGAAGGGATTTATGTGTATTGTTTTTCCCTATGTCTACTTTTAATCTGGCTGTCATATTAATGAGATTGAATATTGTTACTTTGTCTTAATAGAAAATAAATCTCTTCCGGCACTATACCAATTGACAATATTCAATTAATTAAAATGACAGCCAGATCTTTATTTGTTTTAAGAAGTTATTTTAGTTGCGTAAAATTAGGCGCCCTTCAGAAGTATTTTGTCATTTAAAAGTAGACATAGGGGAAAACAATACACATACATCCCTAAGTATGTCTACTTCTTAATAAATAGCACTGTATAATTTTTCATTTTGAATTTTGACACTATAAAACTGGAAATTTTGTATCATATGAGTATTTCAATAATACTAATGGATATATTGCCTAAACAACTTCATAGCATCTTTCCAGAACTGGAGGCACTTAAGTAACCACCAACTTAAAGTGAATTTGAAAAAGAAAAAATGTTTGAAAACTTTCAAAAGCACTTGTGGACGGAGAGAAAAATGTTAGTTATCGTTACATGAGTGATTTGTTTGAAAAGTAGGTATCCTGATACATAGTCAAGTAAGCATAGAAATCGTCATATGTCTGTTAGCAAAATCCTATGTCTTAACGCTGGGAGGGGCAGTGAAATATGTCAAATTTTAATAAAACTTCCGACTATATTTGCCTTGAGCACCTTTATTGTGAACTTGCATAGTGTTTGACTTTAAAGAAACAAATCTGCAATTGAAACTATACACTACAATCATAACCTTGAGACAAGCTAATGCCACTATGAAAGAAAGTTCCTTCTCTAAGGGCTAATGATCACAAAAACAAAACAAAAATGTATGTAATAGGTACTAGATTTGCTCAAAGTAGGCCCATCATTCTGATAATGTGTATAACGCAATAACTTTTCATTCGAAATAACTTCGCTTAGTGACATTTGGGCGTACTGTGAACGGAAAAGGTAGCTTACGGAGAACTAAAATAGTGTTTGCTCAACTGTAAAGGCCTATACTTACTTGATTTTAAAAAATCGAAAGTAAACTAAAAGTAAGTTTCACGCCAAAAAAAATGACAATCTCCAAAATTTAAACAAATTATCCACATTGCTACGGGGGTTCCTTCTGGATTTGAAGATTACCATCGGTTCCGCCCGGCAAGGCAAACCGTCTTCTTCTTAGGCTGCTCAATCGATAAAAATAAATGCTCCGGCTAACTCAAATCGGTGGGCTTTTAACTCTTTTGAAACTGCGTAACAAACCTTCCCCTCGTTCTTCGTTAAAGACATAGGCACATTGGAACCAAATAGATAATATATTGAAATGATATTAGAGATACAAACAATTTACAGGGATCTAGCAGTTCTTCTCTCCTCCTTGTAAAACCACTAGCTTAACAATGACAACTAAACTAAATAAAAAATCCTATCAGGTGAAACTAATTTACTCAAGGGGTGGCCATCCTCTACAGTTTGAAAATTGCAACAACAGGTAATCGTTTTTTAATCCAGCGTGGGCTGGGACTTATTTAAATAAACACAAAAATTTATCCTACTCTTTGGTAATCGTTCATTGGACTTTAATAAACAATCAAATCAAAAATTTTTTTACTATAGCTTAATTACCAAAAAGTGGAATTTTACAGAATGTTACAAATTTAATTAGACTAACCTTTACAACATTTGTACAGCCGATCTTGTGAACTGCTCTTTCCTCTGGTACAGGGTGGATGTGATGAAACCTGACACTTAGGTCTCTGTGACTTCCTAGGGGGTGGCTTGAATTTAACACACGGAAACAAAAATCCACGGTGCCTATCCTTCCTCGGAACGAAAGCAAAGTTTAGCGTTTGAACTGAAACTTAGTCCAGGAAATCCTTCGCGTGGCGAGTGGGAGACGGCTAGTTGCCAAAATTTCTACCCAGCACGTGTATTTAATTTTATTTTATTAGTTTATTAGCTTTGACCGCCTGCGGGAGACGGATTTTTGAGTTAGCGGTACGGCAGAACACAAACTTTTATGATCACTATCCGACGGTAAACCGCGATGGTTCGACGTATTATTTCACCAGCTCTTCTTGGGGCAAATATCTCTCCGAAACGCAGCGCTCCTTCGACAAATGACCGTACGGCACTAGTAGGAAATTCCACCTGGGGCGGATCCCGAAATTCTGCGCCTTGAGGACTAGGCAGCACTTTGACTTATATATCCTCGAGAAATCACAACGTATCCTAACGCGATTCACTGCATCCAAAGTAAACTGGGGTGAAGCTCAAGGGTTCGCCAAAATATCACCTGATTGGAACCTGGGTCTTCTTCGCCAAAAAATCAACGCGAAAAGAAAATAACACTTCGAAACGGGTGCAAAAAGCACGCAACTGCGAGCGACCGAAATAAGCCGGTGGCTCAAACCGCCAAGTGTACCAAAACGATCGCTCAAGGTACGTGTTGACCGCTTGACGTACTAACCGCGAGTCTTCCCAAAAACGCGATCACTCAAAGTACGTGTTGACCCCTCGACGTACTAACCGAGAGTCCCTCAAAAACGCAATCACTCAAAGTACGTGTTGACCGCTCGACGTACTAACCGAGAGTCCCTCAAAAACGCAATCACTCAAAGTACGTGTTGACCGCTCGACGTACAAAACGCGAGTCTTTGCAAAACGATCCCCTTCTTCAGAATTGAAATGAAAAAACCACACCCAAATTACCATAAAACAAAAATGGCTCCCGCTAGAAATTCTCCCATTGGTTTAGATAAAGAAGACTTAACCCACTCTAACTTCGTCGTCAACCTCCAGGAACTGCTGAATAAACTGATCTCACGGTTTTCTGCTGACGACGTGAAAACTCCTTACCTCTTGATGGCTCGGTGCTATATCCGCTCCTATTCTCGGTCTAGACGGCGCCAAAGTTGATAAACGAACGACAAAAAACTCGCATTACTCATGATGACGTCAATCAGCTTTGCACTCTTCCCACGACGAAATTAAATCTGAGCGAAATTAAATCTATCGGACCATAGTCTTGAGCGAACCGAAATGCCCAAACACAAAATTTCTAACCGGAACAAATAATGAAATATACAGGGTGACCTTCACTATCATGACAAGAAATTTCGAAATTTGTAATGAAATTTGGCGCGAAATCAAACCACTCGTTACAACATGTACATTACCATTATAATGTTGTCTTTGTTCTATAAGTAATTGGATTGAAGTCTGTAGGACAATAAAAACTCTATTTTTATTATTATTATTTACTAGAAAATTTAATATTACCAAAGTCATTTTAGAGATTTTTCGTTTTTTGAGCTTCTTCAATGGGGACCATAATTTATTTTTCATCAAAAAAGTACAGATAAAAACAAAGAAAATGACACCAAACTCCGTACAATAAATCTCTGAAGGACAATTTTCATTAAAAAAATTTTTTTGTTGAAAAAAACGAGTTTTTCACGATCTACAACTTTTTCATTCAACACTTTTGTCTCTGCTCACAACTTTTACGGGAAATTGCGCTCGTACGATTTTCACCCTCTCCAACTCGCGTATTTATTTTTTTTGTATTTGTTATATATCATTTTAACATATCCACTTGGCAAAGCTTCAGCTATGTCTACTTTTAAATGACAAAATCTCCTCCGAATATTAATAAATTAATTTGAATATTGTTGCTTAGGGTTCCGTAGTTTTATTTTTGTTCGTGTGCGATGTATTCAATTGAAAAGAAAGTTGATAGTGTGCTTTATAAGACCGGCCGCATGTAGTATGTGGTTTAACAATGAACTGCATAATTACAACAACAAGCAGACTTGATTACAATAATCCTGCTAAATGGTAAGGTCTGCACCTCCAGTAACAGAGGCACTCAATGGTATATTTCAATTCCTGACTTTCTTAGATTGTCATAAGTAAAAATTATATTTGGTTACAAGAAAACTAACAACATAAATAACATTAAAATATAGCAAAATCAAATCACATTCTTATTAAGTACAAAAATATGTCTAATCTAATAATAAAGTAGGTATACTTATAAGGAATACAAGAATATGTTTTAGGCACTGTTCCCATTACTAATACCTTCAGCGACTTGTGTAGTAAATGATGTAGGTTGGATAAAATTCATCGTCGTAATATTTGACATACACCTTTCCACAATTTCCCACTGTAGTATCATGTCCTTTGCTCGGTAGCAAAACTGAAGAGTAAACAGGTTCAGAATTTTGCACCAACACCTTCGTTAGTATGAATGCTCGATTAGTTCCATTCGATCTAGACGATTCTTTGTTGGCGTATGCAGGTGACTGCGAAAAACTTACACCCTGCCCGTACTTCACGCGACGAGCAAGACGCCAATCCAAATTAGTTTCAACAATGGACTGCACATTATGGATGCTTGTATCGTGAAACAATTCCATTTCACGAACGAATCCGTTGGTTTCCAATTCCTCTTTTCTTAATAAATACTGCCCCCATAAATACGGATTTTCCACTCGTTCGATCTTCCGCACTCCCAAATTAAATGCACCGGCAACTTGCTGTTTTAAATTTACATACTTTTGTGTATATTCTTCTAATTGGACTAAGTGGCAGTCTGATAACGAGCCATTTCGATAGGTCCATTCGCTCGGAATAAATCTTCCAACGATACCCTCCATTTCACAAAACCGATTTCAAATGCAAAAGGAAGTTGTCACTTACAAAATGCGACTCGGAATGATAAAATTCAAGAGTTGCGTATAAGAGGTGGTGGGAAATAGTATAACACGCGACGGAAGTCGTCAAAATATCTTGCCTTTGCGCTGGTCAGTTATGTCGACTTGACTTATCACAAAACAGAAGAGACGATGTCAGTTTTGTTTTATTACACCACTGCCAATAATAACGCGTTTCTCCCCACTCTTCTCGCACTGTTATAACTTCCTTTTTGTCCATTTCCGTCAAGCCCCCTATTAATGCAAGGTTCTCTCCTTTTAAGAGTTGCGTTAATAACATAAACAAATAGACCGGTAACGAATTGGAGGGGCAAATTGTTTAGTAGCCAGTCATAACCAGTGGCGTTTCATGGACCACATTAACAAAGGTGATAAGTGTTTTAAATACTTGACCTTTTTATATGTAGGTACATAAAGAATGACCTCACTGCAAAAGTAAAGTTGTTCCTAAAAAATAGAGGTAGGTGCTCGTGGCTGCATGAGGGAACCGAGCACCAAAGTAGGCCACTACCTCAAAGATTCCTACACAGCATGAGAGATTGTATAAAAAAAATAAGCACCAAAATTCGCATCAACAAATTAAGCCAATCATAATTTCAATTAGTAGACGATAAAAAATTTATTTTGCTTGTTCTAGGGGCGGTTTTTGTGACTCTCAAACGTTCTGCAATAATATAGCGCGCATTTCCCTGTTTTACCTTTATAGTAGGTACTTATGCATGGTAAACAATTGTATTGTATTGTACCGTATGGGTGGCATGGACGTTTTCACGACAATCGTGATATGACTGCCAGCTTTACATGCCCGCCGAAGCATGGTGCTCACAACAAAGAATTACACTTCTGACCATAGCAGTCAAATAGTGCCATGTTGTGCAGCATTATTTAATTTTGTGACTTCATAGGTATGAAGCATTTTGTTAATTTTGCAGTCCAACAATTGTACCTACTTAAAGTTAATTAAGGAAGTTTACAGCCTTGTGTAATTGTAGGTACGAGTCATAATTGATAGTGATATGATAGTTTTATCAGTATCAAATATGACACAACAATAATTGTGAATGCTTTATCAAAAAGTAGTCCAGATTATCGTTTGCCGATATAAATGAATAATTCATCAACTGTTCGTCATGTAAACCAAACTGGATATGTTTACCTATACATTCTATGCGAGATAAAGACTGTGCACTCATGTACTGAATATACAAAATAACAAATTACGGTAAATTATATGGTCTTTTTACCTCCAGTAACGGACAACAGTGGCACTCGGTGATATACAGTGTGATTGATTTTGTGTGTCCAAGCAGATATTTCTCATATATTATGGGAATAGGAAAAAAGTGTAAAAAACAATTGATATGAAAACAACAGAGCATCAGAAAACAAAATAACCTTTTTAAATAGAACGGTTACTTTTTTCTGCAATATTATTGATTAAAGAGGTTCAAATTCTCTTTACAATGATATCAAATAGGTTATAATTACCTTAGAAATTAAAGCTACAGTAATGTTTCTAAAACCAATCGCAGTAACTGTGCAAATTTAAACAAAAACAAAAGAAAGTTTTTCACTTGTTGGTCACACAATTAGTTTAGTGAGTAATGTAACTTCTATAAGAACCACAAGGCAACAAAGTAATACCTAATTACACAAATGATGAAAAAATGTTAAGTTTTTATTCGATTTAATAATACATAGGAAGCAAGTGCAATGTATTTAAAGTTGTCTTAAGTTATAATAGTTATTTCTGCTGTAAGCGCCTTTCATTTGTTTCCCTCGCTTCCTATTGAAAATTTTGTTTTTGTTTCAATTTCCACAGTTACTGCGATTGGTTCTAAACACATTCCTGTAGGTTTAATTTCTAAGGTAACATAACAAGAGAATTTCAAGGACTTTAAGAATATTGCACAAAAAAGTAACCGTTCTATTTAAAAAATTTTAATTTCCGATGCGGTTTTGGTTTTTTTGAATACGTAGCTTTATCAGAAATTGAAAGTAAAATATTATTGTTTTTGACACTTTTTTTTCATCTCCAATAATAAAAGAAATATACACTGGGACACAAAATCAATCACACTGTATTTGAATACCCTGTTCTATCATTGATTAATTTCTTTTACCCAAAATCGTACCTTCATTTTCATGCCTACTTTCTGTCAGGAAATTTTAGTTTCCATGACAGAGGCAGAGCAGACTACGTTTCCTGCCGCTTGTCACTTTACGGGCCGCATTTTTGACATTTCCAAATGTCTATAATGACTCCTGTCATCACTGACAGATTGACATTAATCAAAAGTACTATATAAAAATTCAAATTTTATGTTAAAATATGATTTTGAGTAAAATTTAATACAAAACTCGTCAGTAAAATGATACTACTTGACTCAAAAATGAAAACACTTGGTTGAAGTATTTTAAAAAATCATTCAGTACTTAGATTATTATATTGTCATAAGTAAAAATACATTACAAGGAACCCATGGAGGTATCCATGTAACAAACCTAACAAAATAAACATTCAAATATAGTAAAATCACATTCTTATCAGTACACAAAGATGTCATATGTAAAATATAATAAAAGTATACCTATATAAGGAATACAATAATCTCGTTTAGGCACCGTTTAAATTACCGCCTTCTGCGACTTGTATAGTAAATGATGTAATTTGGATAAAACTCGTCATCGTAAAATTTTACGTACACATTTCCACAGTTTCCCACTGTCGTATCATACCCTTTGCTCGGTAGTTTAACTGAAGTGGCAACAGTTTCAGAATTTTGCACCAACACCTTCGCTACTATCAATGCCCGATCGGTGCCATTCGATCTACACGATTCGCTGTTTGCGTATGCAGGAGACGGCGAAAAACTTACACCACGCCCATACTTCACCCGATGAGCACGACGCCAATCCAAATTAGTTTCAACTATGGACTGCACATTATGGCTGCTCGTATCGTGAAACAATTCCAATTCGCGAACGACCCCGTTGGTTTGGTACTCCTCCTTTCGTAACAAATACTGCGCCCACAAGTACGGATTTTCGACTCTTGCGATCTTTCGCACTCCTAAATTAAAGGCACGCGAAACTTTTTGTTTTAGATTTGCATACATTTGTGTGTATTCGTCTAATTCGACTAAGTGGCAGGACAACGCTCCACTTTGGTACGTCCACTCGCTGGGGATGAACCTTTCTATGATACTCTCCATATTCTGCAATAGGGATTTCAAATGCAAAAGGGAGTTGTCACTTACTCAATGGAAAACTACATACAAAAATACAAAAGACGATTCACAAATCATAAAATGCCTCACTTGAGGTAATAACATAAACAAATAGACCGGTAAACGAATTGGAGGGGGACAAATAGTTTATGAGTTAGTCATAGCCAGTGGCGTTTCACGTATCACATTATGGGAGGTGCACAGCATATTTCAAATCCTAATTGACTTATTCCTAAATAACATACAAACAGTTTGGAATGGTACACGTGACTGCATGAGAAAAATGAGCCCAAAAAAAAAGGGCACTATACACATTCTACAACATGTTAGTGATAGTGCGTACAAAAATAGTGGTAGGAAACATTTAGATTTTTCGACAATTTTTTAAGAAAAAAATGATTTACTGTACTACGTTTGCGAGAATCCCCCAGTCTCCACCACAACCTTTAATCCATATAAAAAACAGTACAGTTTTACCTAAAATATTTTCAATTATATACTTTTGGAACTTGATTCTCATTTATTTATTAATGCCCTATTTTTAATCTGCACTAAATTTTGGATAAATGTGATGTCACCATGTCTAAAAATACAAATAATAATTTTTAAAATAAAAACTATTTAAAAGTAATTTTTAAGCATGTAAATTTACTTAAGTTTTTGATACAATAAATTGCTCTCACACAACTAACAAAAGAATAACGTTTTTTTTCAACGCAAACTACTGGAATTATTAAATTAATTTTAATACAACCATAAAAAGCTTCTTTAAATGATGATATTCAATGTTCCAGAAAATTTTCGCCCTGTATTCTAGTATGTTACCCTTTTCCATGAAATCTTTGGATGTTTTTAATTATTTAGAGGTCAAATACTGTTGTAGTTATAAAAATTTTTTTAACGATCCCTGGGTATGTCGCTAGTGGCGAGAGAAGTTTTTCTAAACTGAAATTATTGAAGCATTACCTAAGACATTCGTTAAGCCAATCAAAATTTAGAAATCTGGCATTAATAAATTAAATTAAAGAAGAAGTGGAAATTTCGCCAGTTTTTGGAGATGGCTCCCAAACGAAACACATTGGAATCTCGGTTTATTAAAGTGCTTGTTTTGATCCCCCTCCCACATTTTTTTTACATACTTACATGCAATACCCTGCATGTATTCCTGAACACCCTTGCTTGATGGTTGTGACGGGGGCCCATGATGCATGGAATATAGTATATATCTCGGTAAATAACCAATGTATACAAAATATTTTTATATGAAAGTTGTTTAACATTTTATTTCCGATAATAAGGCAGCATTCAGTTGTTTTTATTTCAGAAAACAAATGAGTAGCGAAAAACAATTGAATTTTTTGGGACACGGCAAAACATTGGACTGATGCAATTTTTGCAATTGGTTAGTCCAGTCAGTAGACTTTTTTACAACTGTTCCTAGGCCACTAGATATGGATAGTATGAAATCATAAGATGCAATAACAAAATATTTATTCTAAACACAACTTATTAAGCCTTCTGAATTTTCTGATCAGCTTTAACGATTGAAGTACAATTATCAAACAACCTGACTCTTAATTTACTCCAAATCATGTAATTGTTCAAAGCGAGCATTTGGGCCGCATTTAAAGCGGCTGCTTCAGGATACATAACTGTGCTGCAACCCAGACCCGACGGCACATTTAAGCTCGACCATATATCTTTGTCTACATTGTCCATTTTAACAGGAGGACAGTTAATAACAGGCGACGTGCAGTTTGCCGATAGAACTGGTCCCAGACCGTTTGAACGTCCGGCGACGGCTATAAAGACAACTTGTAAAGGCAACGATTCATAATATTTGACGATCTTCAAGGTTTCCTCGGTCGATTTGTGAGCTGAGGCAACACGTATATCCACATTTATGCCAAGAGCCGTGCAATGTTTTTTAATGTTATTACAATGATCGGAATCTGACGGACTTCCCATTAATATAACGACCATGTTATCATTTTTGGGTATTAAATGATCCAATTGCTCCCTAACCAATTCGAAGTTACGTTTCACAGTGTCCAAGTCTGACTGAGTTACCGATTGTAGATTACGGTACACTTGTTTGTCGACCATTAATCGTTTGTCACCAGAAGGCCACAATCGCCAACTGTCCGAGTCAATAATGTCGGCCAGGAGAATTTCACCTGTAAGTTACGTGTGTTCACAATTATTGTAGTGTTACTGTGACTAACAAACCATTTTCGTCCACCCCATATTCAACTTTCATATCGATAAGAGCACAGTTACGTGTGGCCCATGCCTTTTCAAGTATTTCAAAAATAAGAATGCTCATTTTCCTCATTATTTCATATTCCGTTTGTCCTGAAAGAATATATGGATACAGTAAGTGATGTGTCCAATTATGAATTATGGTTATGTTCTTCAGAGCAGAGACATACTTTTAACATTAAGTAGTAAAACTAGTGCTTTATGCTAAATTTAAGGCTAACGAAGCACCTATTTTCCTCCTTGAAGTTACCAGTTTTAATGATCAGTCTGTAGATGAACACCCGGTATCTAGATGCGTTTGAAAGTTGGGCGCGTCATACCGAAAATATTTTGTGTTGGCTCTAGGAGATGAAGATCGAGTTGTGTCTCAGTAACAATAGCTGTACTTAAACAGCCGTTTGCAACCGTTCACGTCAAGATATTTCAATTATTTTTGTTGCGTCCGAAAGAATTTCAGCTCCGTTAAGTCATTATTAGCAGATTTTGGTTTCATATATTAATTAAAAACAAGTTTAAAACCAGTCGAGGCCGTGCAGTTTAGGTGTTTATTAGCCTAATATCGGTGAATCCGCCGGTTCCAACCAGGGAACCTTGGATGATTGGGAAAGAAACAAGCCCACCTTTAGGAAGGGCTCTACACAGTAATACATAGACGATTCAAAACAAACAAAACCTCTGTGCCCTCATACACATAGAAATAGGTAAGGGAGCAAAAATAGATATTCTTACAAGAAGCCAAAGAAGCTTCCAAGGAAGAACCTACGGTCCATTACATTTACATTAAATACCATGGTTGGCGCAGCGGCGGAAGCCACATGCTGACCTTGGGGATGGGCAGATGAGAGTGATGGCTGAACACATTCTACGCGGATGTGAGGCCACTGGCGGAAAAAGGCTAAATGATCTTGACGGGGACAAGCTGAAACCGTATGAGATAAGGGAACTAAACCTCAGAGCTTAAAGGCTACACGGCCTTACTCCTCACATTCAAAATACACAATGGCAAAATCGAAAAGATCATACAAAAAACTTGGCTAAAGAGGATACTTCCAACCATCTATCCATTATGTTTGCTAACGGAAAAAATTTAAAGGTGATTTTGCATTTTTATCACATAGCTTATAATTTTACTTATTTATTTATTTATTGTTATTGCCCAACAGATAATATGTGTAATTATTAAATTAAATTCCGTACTTACCAAATGTATAAACCTAAGGCCACAGCAAATAACTGAAAAATGACTGTTTTAGGCTTTGTTCAGATACAGGTTGATTTAGGAACACTTTCTTGTAAATAAGATGCTCATGCATGAGAATCTGTGAGAATCGCGCAATTATCGCCATCTCTGAACAAAGCCTTAAGACAGACAATAATTGTAAGTGACACGATGACACATAATTATGCAAGATATTGCACTACTAAAGCCTATCTATATCTTTTGTAGTGAATATCATTCACCAAAATATATTCACGTAGCCAATTTTACCAAAGATAAAGGCAAAGAGTAATTACGTATTCTTTGATTATAGGGGTGAGTATGATTTACAATGACAGCAAGCAGGTACTGTAACATAGCACAAATACCTATACTTTTTAGTAAATAAACACAGTGGACAACAATCTAACAATGCGTAGGATAATGCCAAGTAATTACTTTTGTATTCCCTTTTAGTTAATGAGCTCGAGGCATTTTAAATGCAGTTTAGGTTGCCTATCTGTATGTTGGCATTTTCCCTTTTTCGCTGAAATTCCCATAATCAATTTTTGCATTAATGGAAATAATATCTTTACCATGCCAACATAAAAATACTATCGCATTTCCAAATTGGTGTTGTTATTTATGAAAAACGATTTTTCCATTAATGATCAATTAAAAAAACTGTAAGTAATGGATGATCCAACTTTTTTGAAGTACACAAGTTCTTCTGAAATTAATTTTACAATGTTTTTAGTAGGCGCTGAACTAGGGGTACTGTATAATTAAAAAATGACTATAATTAAAAAAACAATTGATTCAATAATTGATAAATTACAAAAATATCAATGCCAATTTTTTCTTTCCCCACTAAACATTGCAAATTAAGATTCTAGGCACCAGAAGAGCAGGTGAGCAAAACTGAAAAAATGTAATTTATATATCTATACTTTAATTTGATGTTGCACGTGACTCATTTAGGTTGATCAACCGTCAAACTCATCGGATTTATTCCATAACAAAATATTTTGCTAGTAAATGGAAAGTTTATGTTGCACATCAGAATGAAGTAAGTAATGGAATGTTTAGCTATTAGTCGATATTTATGTTTATATGGATCACTAAACATTAATATTTACATATCTATCAAGCTTTAAGTAGAATTCAAAATATTGTTTTTAGCGTGCTGTTCATTTTTTTAAAGTGTGCTAGAAATTTCCATGTCATTACGAGCACAGTATGTGGCAACTGAGGATAAGATTATGATAACAGTTCAACATACCAATAGTTAGGCCGTTAACCTTGAACTCGGCGGACACGATTTGTTCTTCTGACCATTGAGGATCGTGGTTTGCATCATCCTTATAAAACGTCTCAAATTTTGGAGGATAAAAGCGATAACCTTCAGGGACGCCGGTGTGACGCTTCAAGAACGAACCGGTTGCTAAACGTCTCGTAACCCATTCTATTGGGATCATCGCACATTTTTTCGCAATAAAAGAGTTGTCGGTCGCGATTTTTACAAATGCGGTTTTTATGCCTGCAAGATTAACGCTAATGGGGCTCTTAAACGTAGACTCTCACCTGCGCAATTGAGGATTTCAAACACTTTGGCATTCGTTTTATTCGATATAACAGCCTTGCCTTCCAAAGCGTGAGACTTAACCCCATCTCCTGCGGTGATACGATCCTTACTTACAAGAATAGCGTGGCCGGGAACTTGAGGCAAGTCGTACACTTGCTTGGTTTTACCTTCAATTATCAAGGTGCCCAGTTTATAATCGCCTAAAATCAACAGGTGAAATATAGGTTAGGTTTAAATAGTACACTCACCGACGGTTGCCATGACGAAAGACTATCAAACGCTTTACCTTAATAACAAATGAAAAGTGAATAATTAATAGAAAACAAAACTTGATAGTTTATAGGGTGCACAATGTGCGAATGGAGGGAAAACAAACGCATGCGTCAGCATTACGCACGCCCATTTTTTGAATATTGCGGTTTTTTTTCAATTGCACCCATAATAAATAGATCTGAATTGCGAAAATGTTACGACGTAACATTAGATAAACTGCTTAAAAAGGGCAAAACTTTGATGTTTCACACAAACAACAACCCGAAAAGTAGGTGGTGACGTCCAACAGGGTCGTAGTGGGAAAGGCCACGTGCTTATAGTTGATAAAATAGAAGCGGCAAATATTCAGGTTTCAGTTTTAGAATTTATTATCGTTGCGGTGATTTTGAAAATCGTGTAAGTATAAATTGTTAATTAATTACGCTTAACGAACGTCACGGTGCTATCTGTGCACAATTCATTTTTAATACGTAGCCCCGCGCCGTGAATGGAGCGCACCAGGACCGTATTAAACTAATTCGGGCCAATTAGCCCAAAAGTCAGAAATTGTAAAAATTTATTCTACAGTTGGAAACTGTTCCTCTCATCATAACACGCGTAACTTCTCCTCGGTTACGAAACGCATATGGAGACCGATAAATTCGCCTTGGATAAAAAGCGTTTAGGCAGAGGTGCCGTTCACACTGGATTAACGCACGAATGTGGTGTTTTTGGAGCAATTGCAACGGGAAAATGGCCAACCGAACTGGAAATTTCGCAAATTGTCTGCTGGGGATTGGTCGCTCTTCAACATCGGTAATGCTTTTAATGCCAACACGCGCGTGCATTTTTCGAATGTTCACATTCCAGAGGTCAAGAATCGGCAGGAATCGTTACAAGTGAGGGCAAATGTTTGAAAAATTTTAATGTACACAAAGGAATGGGGATGATCAATAACATATTTAATGACGAAGCGATAAAAAAACTTAAGGGAAACTTGGGTATTGGCCACACCAGGTATTCGACAAGCGCCGCTTCCGAAGAGGTAAATTGTCAGCCGTTTGTTGTCCATACTCAACATGGGGCCTTAGCTGTCGCTCACAATGGAGAATTAGTTAACTGTGATAGTTTACGTAAAATGGTACGTATAATTAGTACAAAGATAAGTCTTTATCTGCTTCAGTTATTTAATATCTCTCTGTGGGACTGGGAGGTCTCCTTAAGATTAGGTGAGAGGTTATCAGCTCAATATATATACTTTGTTACAAAACGATGTCGGTAGGCAGGTATCATTCCCACTGGTTATTGAGTCTTATTTGGTATTTTCAATTGACGAAATTTCCTGTTAAAAAGATATACGTCACGTTATAAGAGAAATATAAACAATTGATTATAGTTCATCAGTTCAATCACTTTTTTCTTATAAAGTCCAGAAACAATGTGTTTTCTGATAACATATCATCGGAAGAAATAATTAAAATAATGTCTTATATGTACCTACTTTTTATTATTCCAGGATTAGGAACTTTCTTATATGACGCCGGTCCTGTTACACCTGGGCATAAAGTATTTAACTTGTTTCTGGTAATCAATATTAATTTCGGTTCACCCTGGAACTATAGCAGTTTGAAATTTTTTTAGTAACTAAAATCCCAAGTCCTTGGCATACAAAAATCATTTTATGATTAAATTTGCCACATTATTTTTATTTGATACCTATGCTCCCAGGCATTTTCTGTTACAAAAAATATATAAGTTCCATGTTTCTCCCTGGAAATTTCTTTTTCGATTTTATGTAGTACAGGAGGTATGTAATTGGGCCGAACTATATAGCCCCAATTTAATAATAACAGCTCTCATACCTATAGAAAAAAACGTTATTTTTGATATAAAAATTAAAAGATGTCAAACGACCAAATTTTGGTAAATTATATACATCACATGTATATAAAATTTTACGTAGATTCTAAAAACGAAATAATATAATATAGAATGTTCAATTTAAAATAGTTATCGACATTATAGTATGTGTATATTGTGAATTTACCCTCGATTTTCGAGATATAGATAGTCAGCATTCGTCGTGGGGCACCTTGTGTAGCTTGTAACAATAGACAAACGACCAGACTAGGTACTTTTTATCGTCGGACATTTGGGTAAATAATTCTATAGCTTCGATTCATGTGAAAATAGATAGTGACCACATAAACATTTTTCTGTTGGAACGATTCATTAAAAGTTACGATGTTACCTGACCGCTTTGTACAATAGAAGAGCATTTTACCTAGGGTTTTTGGAAGTCTCATCGAAATTGTATGGTGCAGTTGGGCGGGTTTCCTGTAAGATGTTTGTTTAGCATTTAAAGCTTTTGTTTCATTTTTGACATGTTTCTGTAACCCTTAAATGAATGTATAAAACAAAAAAAAAACGACCTGTTAGACTGCAAAACTGAAAGATTACAATCTGTTTATTACTCCATCCCACTATAATTTTAATAAAAAAAATAGCCAATCAGGGATTTCTTTTTTTATGTAATTATTTTTACACTGATGCGCTATTATTAGCAACAACAGATTGCGGTTTACGAAATCGGTATAGCTACTTTTCTAAAAAGATTAGATTAGCCATACAAATTAAAACTTTTGTTACAATTTATCTTATTCATAGAGATAGCCCTCTCGCCCCTTACAACATACGAATTCCATTAGGTATATGCAATACAACAAAGCAAATACGAACATTTGCTACCACTCGCACACCTGCGGATGCGCATTCTGCCCAACACCTTTGCAGCTATTCCTTTTATATAAAAATTTGGTTTTAACTGGAAATAAGAGTACAGACCTGAATATTCAAACGACACTTCTGGACAGTATATTAATTATTCTTGCATAACTAAGTCACGTTTGCTGAAAATAGAACAAAAAACGTAATGATGAAAAAAAAAAAAACTAAAGCTACACTTTAACTCAGGGCTGTATAGTGCATAGAGAATCCCTTTCCCTATTAAATTTCTTTTTGATGTTAAAAAATTCACTTTCTTCCTTCTCTTTTCTCCTCTTGTTTTTTCCTGTAGATATCTTAAAAAGAAATTTTTTTTTGTTTTACTCTCATGTAGTGAATGCTCATGCATGTATATCATTTTGTATGGGAATAAAGTCAATTATTATTATTATTATTATTATCATCCAGATTTTGTTTGATTTGAATTTCTGATGCTTCAAAACGTGTATTTCTGTCAACAAAGTGAAGATTATTTTTTACCCCAATGCAACATTACCTCCCTTACTAATGTGCGGATGGTAAAAAGAGGTAAAAAAGGTTCCTCCACAGTAAATAATGTACCTATTTCTAGATGTTATTTATTTAATGAACTAACAGTAGTAACAGTAGCATAATTATGATGGCAGTTTTTCTTTAGGTATTATCAAGAGGAGTAGGTCTGTCAACTCACTCAGATAGTGAATTAATAACGCAAGCATTATGTCTAAATCCGCCCGAAGGAGAAAAAAATGGTCCCAACTGGAATGCCCGTATTAAACACTTGATGCAGTTGGCACCACTTAGCTATTCCCTCGTTATTATGCTTCGAGACAAGATATATGCTGTTCGAGATCCTTATGGTAACCGGCCGTTGTGTCTAGGAAAAATACTTCCATCAGGAGAGCGTAAGTGTACAATGAAAAGAAAGACTGAGATTGAACGGTGACTGTGTAGCGCTGTATGGCGATTGCGACGAGAAACGGCAAGCGGAGGGTTGGGTTGTCGCTTCCGAATCGTGCGGTTTCCTGTCGATCGGGGCACAGTACGTGCGAGAAGTATTCCCGGGTGAGATTATCGAAATGGCGCAAGACGGAATTAGGTCAATTGATATTGTGGACAGGCCCGGAGATAAAGCCCAAGCGTTCTGCATATTTGAGTACGTGTACTTCGCGCGATCGGACAGTATTTTCGAAGGACAGATGGTGTACGCCGTTCGATTACAGTGCGGACGCCAGCTTGCAATTGAACACCCTGTCTCGGCCGATATCGTAAGTTCGGTGCCGGAGTCGGGAACGGCGGCGGCGCACGGATTTTCGCGACAATCTGGCATCACGTTCGCCGAGGTGCTGTGTAAAAATAGATACGTGGGAAGAAGCTTTATTCAGCCGAGCACGAGATTGAGGCAGCTCGCTGTTGCTAAGAAGTTTGGTAGGGAACTTTCAATCTGAGGATGTACTTACAATTATTTTTAAGGCGCCATATCTGACAATGTCAGAGGTAGGCGTATTATTCTGGTTGACGATTCAATCGTGAGGGGTAACACTATTGGCCCAATCATAAAATTGTTGAGAAATGCGGGTGCAACCGAAGTACACATAAGGATTGCCAGTCCGCCTTTATTGTACCCTTGTTATATGGGCATCAATATTCCGACACGAGAAGAATTAATTGCAAACAAGCTAAGCCCGAAACAACTAGCAGTACACGTTGGTATGTATGTGTTTCCGTCTACTCATAGATGCCATAACACCATTCATTACAGGTGCTGATAGTCTGGAATACTTAAGCGTGGAAGGTTTAGTGAAAGCAGTAAGAAGTGATATTCAGGTCAAGAGTCCAAGTACTGTTGGTCACTGTACGGCATGTCTAACTGGTGATTACCCAGGTGGAGAACCCAAATTATTTGAATGGTAGAACTCACCTATTTACTTGTGTTGTAAATATATTTATAATAACTTTGACTTATTTATGAAATGATTTGGTAGTCTTTAGTTTTGTATATTTTTTTCAAAATAAACTGCAATTCAGAAACAAAAATTGCAATTACACGGTGGTTGGACTAATCGTTATTAATTATTTAAAAAAACAGAAAAATGGAGTTAATTAAATAAATTATATATGTATAATTAGAATTGGAGAAAATAATTGTGCACTAAATATATATATTATTTACATGCGAATTATTATTCGGGGTCACAAGATAGCATTTTTTAATTACAAGGACAGACAAATTAAGTTATATCATGACATTTTCTGAATGCGTCTGGCCGACATCATCCAATTATTAGTAACTGATTTGGCACCTTTTATTATGTGGCAGCAATTAAAAACACCTTACCAAATCTTTCTAGGACGCCCAGCTATAGCTAGAAAGCGCGCTTCAGGAGCGTCCTGAAAAGGACTCACGAGACTCTGAAAAGCTCTAAGGTTATGAAAAACCTAAAAACACCTTCCAGCGTATTTTAAATACTTCCGAAAGCTTTCCAAGGCAACCAAAAAGAGCTTACATTTTTTTTAAATTCTTCTGTACATGTATTTGAGAGTGCTAAAAGACTGGAGGGATTTTGATAACAAAAATGTTTGTGCCTCTGTGTGTCCACGGGTGGTTTATATTGATCCAATCGGATTATAGGATTTTTTAAATTCTTTTTTCATTGATGTCCATTTGCTAGTTCGCGTACTGATTGATTCAAGCGCCAAGTCACTTGCATCATATCATATCATGTCTGATGAATGTCCCATGATTAGGGGATTGTGGGCGAGTGCACCATCCTGTTGAAACCAACAGTTTCCAACTTTTGTTTTTTTGTGTGCAGAACATCGTTGTGTTCGTAATTATACAGGATGCTCTTTTTTCATGATGCTCCGAAACCAAACGTATTGAAAATCTGTTAATAGTGTTTCGTAGAGATCAAAAAGTGGCAATGAATAAGTGTTTTTTTAATTTTTTTGGTATATCTCTTTAAATAACAGAACAGTAATTTCGGATTTTCTGCCATATATAATATATTATATATATGATATATATATAATATATATAATATAATTATCTTCTAATCTAATCTTCTACTCTACGGCCACAACGGTTTTGGGACTTTGATAAATACTTATTGAACAAATATGTAAGTATTATATTGCTGTATGCAATGGTATGGGGTCACTATACACAGTACACACAAGTTAGTTTCCTTGTTCTTTTTAGTGCACTTTCACTTTCAAAAAATAAAAAGTGCACTTTTGCGCTCTTGATGCCTGTCTGTCTGTGTTTCTGTCTGTCTGAGTCACAAAGGTTCCGGGACTACACCACTTACAGATTTGGTATTTGTGTCATTCGATCAGAAATTAAAAATTATTTCATGTTTGTATTCTCGTTAAGGCATGAAAGGGCTATTAAAATCGAAAATAAAAATTTGAAAGTGCACTCTTGGCCTCTTGCTCACAAGCGGCTTAACGAATTTGTTCAAATTTTCTCTCAGGGCACAACGAGGTTTGGACACAACAATAAAATCCTAACATTGACTGAAAACTGTTATAAACTGGAAACAGCCGATGGCTCCAATCAAATTCCGTAACTTCCAATGAAATCATAAAATCTTGAAAAAAATCGCAAACAACATTCGGATAACAAGAAATTGCAAGAATCTACACATCATAAAAAGAAAATCTAATACAAAAAATCCTGTAAGAAAAATTTAAGGCTAACAGTGCCTTCTGAATACAAAACCCCCCGTTTGCAAAACCGTTACCGTTCTGGTAATAATAATCCACGTGACGTCACGCAACATCGCACGCGTACCATTCGCCATACACTGTGACGTCACGTAACAAAATGCGCGCTCGCCATTCATCGTACACGCCGTGACGTCACGCAATATCTCGTGCGCTTGGAATCCGTCATGAAAACTACTTTTAATATGTCAGAATTGGCTCAAAGCAAAAACTATGTAACGTATACTCTGCCCAAAGACAAAAAACACTTAAATTTATGATTGCAGGATGACTTGAAGACTTTTCTTGTATTACACCAATTATTTCTTGATTATTTCTAGATAAACACAACTTTTTAAACTCTAAATTCCATGAGTAACAAACTTCACAAAATCAAACTTGCAAATTAGCTTTAAATATGCAGACATAGAATCTTTACGTTTCCAGAGCATTTGCACTTTCCTAAAATTATTTTGTTTAAAATAACATTTTTTGCTTATATTTATGTTACCTACTTTATTTTGTTTATTCATTTTTTTTACTAAAAATGATACCCCTACCTAAAAAACAGTTACATTAACGGTTTTTTGAAATCTCTTGTTACAAGTTAATTTACACGAGTTCCTTAATGCAATTACTATTGAAAAAGCCCAGATTTTGCAAGTACCCCCCTTAGAGGGTCAACTTGCAACAATCTGTTTTAAAAAAATGAAATATTGGAAATTCTTTTATCAAAAACGAATACTGCAGTGTTTCGAAAAGCACTTAAAAGACTATGGAAATATTTTTCAGAGCTTCTTAAGAATTCCCAGGGTTGGGGCTTCTGCTTCATGAGGGTCCGTCCTCATGCATGCCACTTCTATCTACTCTCTAGCAAAAAATCTTAAGACCTTCTGCAGAGGCACCTCTAAATAGCATTATGCGGGTCACTCTGTAATTGGGCGCATGCCTGTTGAGGGCCCAAAACAAGAGAGGGATAATAATAATAATAATAAAAAATAAGGCTTAACAAAACCATGACTGAAAAATACCAGCTCATCCCTAGACTATAACATTCAAGAAATGATCAATTTGTGAAAACTAAAAAGGTAAGTAAAATGCATCATAAAAATTGTATTCATTTTACTAAAATATTTTCAAGCTCTTTGGTTTTCACTCGCAATTTTTTCGATATCCTCTAATTTATTTGGGCACTTTTTTGTTAAAACGACAGGACCGTCATTTGTTATAAGAACGTCATCTTCAATTCTAATCCCCATACCTTGATATTCCTTTGGCACTTTCAGTCCACTGTGTATGTACATACCTACAACCAAATATCTGCAATTAAAAAAGTTAATAAAAAAATGAAATATACCCGGTTCCATAGTGATGATCATTCCAGGTTGAACTCGTATATTCCGAGGAACTGAGGGTGTGTCATGTACGTCCATTCCCAAATAATGTGAAACGTGGTGTGGACAAAACTTATAAGCTACCTAGAAAAAATGTTTGGTGGTATTTACTGTATGGTTCAGGCCTGGCAACTGGGGTAATGTGAGAGGAAACTAACCCTAACAGGATTCTCAGTAAAACTCCTACGTATCAAACCACTTTCCTCCAAATGTTTTCCCAGCATTGAACACATCGCATCAAATAAGTTATCCAAGCTAGGAAAAGTGTAGCACAGTTCGATTAATCTTTTTTGTATGTCTAAAAGTATTTCGTAAACAACAGCCTGTTCCGGTGTGAATTTCCCGTTAACTGGCCATGTTCTCGTTATATCACTGCTGTAACCGTGGTATTCGCAACCTGCAATGGTACAGTAACTATATAATCTCGATCGCAATTATCTACCTGCATCCATAAGCACCATCTCATTATTTGCAACAACCTGATTGTTGTTGATATAGTGAATGATATTAGCACGATTACCTCCAGCGACAACTGGGGGATAAGCGAGGTATTCGGCGCCTTTCATTTTACATTCGTAATCAACATGAGCGAATATTTGGTGCTCCGTCACACCTACACTAAAAGATGTTATAATTTCCACGAGAAGTTTTACCAACCTGGTCTCGAGAAGGAAATCGTATTTGCTATGGATTCTGCCGCAATATCACAGGACTTTTGCATTAGTTGTATTTCGGCGTGCGATTTAATTAAACGTAATCTATGTACAAACATTATCGGTGATTCCCACATTTTGTTAAATTTTTCATCAAGAAATTCTTTCATTACACTGTCTACAGTTTTTTGAATTGGTGCCAAAAAATCATACCTGGAGAACTACAATTTCATAACTATTAACTGGATGTGCTTAGCAATTACCATAACATCGCTCGTCCATTCGATTTCATGTAACATTCTAAATATTTGCCTAATTCTGTAATTGGCAATGCTTGTTCTACGCCGAATAAGTTGATGCAGTCCTCACAGCTCGTACGCGGACCATCCCAAAGTTCAGAATGGCTGTCTTTTTCACGCATGAACATGACGGCGTGATGATTATTTAACGAGTTGGACGTCGCTAGCACCAAACAGCTGTCAGGTTCTAAACAGCCGCTTAAGTATAAAAAATCGCTATTTTGCCGAAAAACGTAAGGTATTTTATCGGACATGAATTGTTTTGACGCAGACGGTATAACAATCTGCAAGATCAAGGTTTTAAGTCTGTACTGAGCGCGAAGTACTTACAAGGTGCGTTTTACTATTTTTATCACAGTTTAACGAATGAGCTACAATTGATTCCACCAGTCTTTGACGACGCTCTTGAAATTCGGAGCGTTGAATAAATGGGGTGATTTCTCCATCTTTTATTAAATGAGGATGTGTTGTGGCGGTCGGTTGACCATACGCCTTAACGGAAAGTTGACTGCAGGACTTACTTTTTGGTAAATTACTACATAGCCGTACAGAAACTAGAATCAACACGAAATTAAGGAGAAACACATTGCCATTGATAATTACTGCTATTACAAATATTTTTAGTGGTAATACGAATGGAATTTTTAAAGTATATTAACATTTTGTTTGAAATTTATTTGTAGGTTAACAAGAATTTTTATGGCACAACGTTCTCGCTATTGCCAGATTGTGCACGTTGCCGTTACTATAGCCACGATCTGATTTCACCGCGTAGTTCAAATGTTCATTTATAATAGCTCTAGTGAGTACCATAAGGGCCCATTTACATCAGAAATAAACATACACCTGATACCTACTAACCTACCAAGAAATAAAAATATTGTATCATGAAACCCATACCACCCTGACACCAGAGACATGGCAAGTCTCTTCCGGGGAAGTAATAAAATTAGTTACCCTCACTGTTAAAGAATAATCATCACATTGTATGTAGTATCTACTGCAGACGTTAATTTCCATGGAAACGTGTACTTACATAAGGCGAGTGATCTCTCAGATAAGTTTAACTAAAACATGAAAGATCACTTTGAAACAATGTTTCAGCTGGTGGTTTTACTTAATAAAACTTCTTTACAAGAGTTTTTTTTTGTAAATGGTGTGACAAAAGGTTAATTATCATGCATCAGAGGCTCACAGTTTGAGGAAAGCATTTGTGCATTATTAAAATGTGCATAGGTATAATTTTACTTTTTGCTCTTTATTAGTAAAAAGTCTCTTACCAAAAGTATATATTTTGTACATCTGTGTTTTTAAAACAGAAAAAGTTGCCATAATGATTATATTCATTCTGCTCTAACATCATGTATACTAGCAGGAACTTTAACTTCAAGTCCTTCCATAGACTCACTTAAAATAATTTGACATCCCAACCTTGACGTATCCGATAGTTCGTAGGCTAAATCTAACATATCCAACTCCTCGTCTGTTGGTTTATCCGGCAGTTGATCGTAATCCTTCTGCGTAAATATTAAATGACAGGTGGAGCAGGTGAGCGTCCCCTCACATGCACCAAATCCTTCTAAATCTACATTGTTATTAACAACTACATCTAATAATGTATCACCAACATTTGCCTTTACTTTAAGTCGTTCACCGTCGGCTTTGAGAAATGTCACCTCGATTCTGAAAGTGAAAATTAATGCAACGTTGGTGGTGGAAAAGCAGGACTTACTGTTTTTTGTTTGTGAGCGGGCTTGTTGTAGAAAATATGCGACAATTAACATTATTTGGTCTCAACATGCGTTTTGGTAAAATTGATAAATTACGCATAAAACACCTAAGTGCCATCGCTTGAGGAACATTTACGTAACGAATGCGGAAATTCGTAAGTAATAATTTTCTCCTATATCGAATTTAAGTGTGTTAAATTTCCATTTCCAACTCATTATGCAAAAAGGTTATGGAACATTTTGTGTAATAGTTCTCATTATTGTGGGAAGATGGCGACAATTTTATTCACATAAGACGACCCAATAACCGTAAGTCACATAATGAACAATAACGGGGGGTATAGCTCAGTGGTAGAGCATTCGACTGCAGATCGAGAGGTCCCCGGTTCAAACCCGGGTGCCCCCTCTATTTTTTTGTTGCAGTTTTATGGCACTTCTGTATTATTCCACAGCATAAGGGATGCCTACTTAGAGAAGGTAAGAATGCCTGTAACGTCAGTCTAAAAAATAGTGATTTGTACAACTAGAGAAGAAAGTGGAGTGTTTCAATCCGAATTCAAAGTTTGACTGATCAGTGTATCAATGAACGAGAGTTGAAAAACACTTTCTTCTCGTTACACAATTTTTTCTGAAACTACAGTCAAAAGTGAAAATTATCGTATACAATAATGAAGTCTGACAAATAGCAATCTAGATCTGTACCTGAGAGCCAAACTGTATTAACTCAAAAAAATTAAATTTTACAGCAGAGCGAGTTGAAAATTTATAAGACATTAAAATTAATACAAAATATTTATTTAATAACTATTAAAAAAGAAATTAAACACAAAAATAAAATATGGATGTCCTTAAATTTTCCCTCCCCCTAATTTTCAAAAATTTTCATTATTTTTGCCAAAAAAAGTTATTAAAAAGTCAATTAAATGGAGTTAATACCATTTGGCCCTAATACTTCGAATTACAAACTGTATTAAATACTTTTTTGAAAAATGAAAATGGAGTTATTATGGACAATAAAATACTAATGTATTCTGAAATTATTTTTTTATTATTTTGAATGATTGCACGGGGTAAAAAAGCGACTTCCAATATGTTTCTTGACCTATTTGCCATTTTTTCGCAGAGTAAACAACACACGGCCTGTAACTTTTGAACTAGTAGCCCAATCTTGGAACTGAATTATGGATTCTACAGGCCACATTCTATAAGAAAATTTTTTTCGGGTCGATCTGAGACAATTTTTTTTCCGGCCTCAAAAAAAGGCAGTGTATAACCTTCCTTTTTTACCAAAAATCGACTGCACCAAAATTTCTCGGGAAAACACTTTTTCTTATTAATTTTGGTGCATATAGAATCCAAAACGATTCGTACTTTTTCGATTAGACGTCTCAATCAAAAGCCAATTTCGACAAAAAATTCAAAGGGCTGGTACTTTTGATCTAGTAGCCCGATCTTGGAACTGTTTGAAATTATGGATTCTGCAGGCCACATTCTATAAGAAAATGTTTTTTCCGGGTCGATCTGAGACAATTTTTTTTGCGCCCTTCAAAAAAAGGCAGTGTATAACCTTCCTTTTTTACCAAAAATCGACTGCACCAAAATTTCTCGGGAAAACACTTTTTCTTATTAACTTTGGTGCGTAGAATCCAAAACGATTCGTACTTTTTCGATTAGACTTCTCAATCAAAAGTTATGGACTAAAAACCAATTTCGAAAGAAAATTCAAAGGGCTGTAACTTTTGATGTAGTAGCCCAATCTTGGAACTGTTTGAAATTATGGATTCTACAGGCCACATTCTATAAGAAAATTTTTTTTCCGGGTCGATCTGAGACAATTTTTTTTCGAGCCTCAAAAAAAGGCAGTGTATAACCTTCCTTTTTTACCAAAAATCGACTACACCAAAATTTCTCGGGAAAACACTTTTTCTTATTAATTTGGGTGCGTAGAATCTAAATCAATTCGTACTTTTTCGATCAGACTTCTCAATCAAAAGTTATAGGCTAGAAACCAATTTCGAAAGAAAATTCAAAGGGCTGTAAGCACACGTGCACTTCTACACAACATCAACGCACTGAAAACTGTATTATGTCCACAAATGTAAGTTTCTTTAACAATATTAACTCCATAATATTATTTTGCTCGGAAAAGGTTATTGATATAATACTGTTGATCTTTGGCCAACTTCAAAAGTATATTATATAGGACTTAATACTATATTCCATCTGAAAAAGTGAGTCTCGTTTAGTAGGAAGAGAACTTAATACCGATTTGAAAAAAAATGGAGTTAATACAGTTTGGCTCTCAGGTACAGAGATACTTTTATAAATTACAAATAACACAGATAGGCCATGACTTATAGATTACATTTTTTGGTTCTGGAGACAACTCCCTGGGGCAGGACAAAGATCATGTTCCTGGGATACCAAATGCAGGTTGGTGCGACTTCCTCATAGTTTTTAGTTGGTTTATTAATGAAATTAGCTGTATTTCTTAAATTCTTTATTTACAAAATATCTTAAAAATATATCAATAACTTTCTAATACGATTAAATATATTGTTAAAATTTGTGCTATACCTTAGTGGTGGTTTCAATTGAACTCTAGCAACTTTGAGCTGTTGAAATGGGTACTGAATGTAACTCGTTTTCGAATTTATAGAATTATCATCTGCCACCATCACTACAAAAATATTCTCTTACAGAATATAATAAATATCTGGGGTGTATATGTAAAATTAAAAATTATTTGTATTCGTCACCCATTTTGTTTCACAACTGTGATGTGTTGTGAAGATTTAGAAACACAAATTGATATGTATTTTTCATTATGCTAATTATTTTTAAGAGATCAAAAATTAAAAAATTTAAATTAAAACTGGAATCAAATTTACAAACACCATTGAGACTACAAACTTATTAATGAGGCCTTATTTTTCTGCAAAAAAAATTTGCACATAGAAATACTGGAAAAATTGTAAAAATAAATCTTCTATATGCTTCCTTATTAATGTAATATGTCGATTTTTCTGCTGCTAAGAAACCAGGTGTTGATTGCCACAAAAGTCAAAACAATAGTTTTTACTTGTTAACACTCAAACCACCACCCCCAATGATAGCAAAACGTCTTAAACTTGAATCTCCAGAAAAAATATAAAGCAATATAGTCCACAATCATAAATAAACTTAACTAAAAGTACATCCAATTTTAGGTATGGCTATTATTACACGGAAGAATTACAATGTAACAAAGATGATAACAAGTCCACTTAAATTTGTTTAACACTCCACTGATTTTTCTACACTACTGCACACATACAGAGGGTTTAACAAGTATGTCAAAAGAGAAAAAGGTAAATAGAGGGTATTTTTAATACATGAAGCATTTCAATTTCATTTCAACTGTTAACAACATTTGTGTTTATTTGGGAAAATCTCTACCATTCAATAAGTTTTGACATACTTATCTCACACGCCCTGTATTAAATATAAAAATAGTTGAACATTCCGAGATTTAAAAAAAAATGACTTGAGATGGATCTCATGCACCGAGACACCTGAGGGTCAATTCTTAACTTCATTTGAACCATGCACACAAGCATGTGATGTAATTATCCAAAAATATCCTAGCATTTTTACAATTTGTGTCTGTTGTAATTTTGCAAACGGTCAAGAACCCAGTGTTTATACTAATTCACTTGGTGATAACTTGTAGATTAAGTATATGAACGGTTGTTGACTTTTCTTAAACACATTATAAATCTTCTTACGAAAAAATACACGTGTGATCTTATATACAACATAGTTACAAGAAATAGTTTTGAATTTATTACACTAAAATAATTTTATGTCCTTGGAGTTTTGTGTACATTTCTTGTTTTGAAATTCAACAAACAATATGAAAGTATGTATATAAGAAAAATTTTAAAGTTATAATTGTTGCTTTTTAAAAGTTTGACAAGTGGCGGATTTAGCTTAATTGCCTAAGGACTGATTTTTCTAGACTTCGTTAAACTTATCTGAATAACCTCCTATGTGAATACATTTGCTTGCATGGAATTTTACTGTCAGAAAAGGTGAATTGAGTCTGTCAACTTCAGAAAAATAAATGGCATAATCAAAAATGATCAATTGCATCATAAAAAAAACAAAAGTGGAAGAAATTAAGTTCTGTGGCTAGAAGCATAAATCCGCCACTTAGATGTACAATGTAAATATGTCAATATTTAAGCATAATGGTAAAATTGTACACATCTGTCTGTCTTGAACTCATTCATTAAATGAAAATTGTCATTTATACTAACGTACTAAACTTAATTAAAACATTGCCAAAAAACACACAACATAAATGCGAAATTAAAAATAAATCAGTAAACTTTTGGAACTAAAGAATACTTCACACGTTGACAATATCTCTTCCACGCACTGCCATATCTCTGCTCACATTTCAACTCGGTTCGACTTATACGATTGATGATCCAAAGAATGTCAAAAATGAATACCAGTACAGGTACTGCATTGTAGACCAATAAACCAAACGACATTTGTATGATAATATCACCTAAATAATTAGGGTGTCGCACCATACCCCAATAACCAGAAACCAAAAGTTTTCGTCCTTGTGAGCTCGGTAAAGATTCCAAATCTAAAAACAGATATTTAGAACCAATGGATCATTATTTTATTTTATTTTAAAGGGTGATTGCTTATTTGGCAAAGGGTACTAAATATAAATAGATTCAATGCAATGTAAATATACTTTTAGAGGATCTCTATGTATCATTATTAAATGGATCACGTCCAAGTATTAGAAAAATGTAGGTCTAAATTTCTAGAAAAACGATACCACTGTTTAGCATCACCTACCAAGTTGGGTACGTTGACATTTCACTATGATGAAGGTATTTAATTTTTCGTTTTTGTGTTTCATTTATTATACATTTTGAGTGTATGTTCATATTTAATCCACGTATTACAAAAAATGTACCAAATTTTTAAACTTTAAGTGGCACATAGGTGGTAATTAGCTCCCTAAGTTTCTTCATGTAAAAATCAGTTTCCCTATTTCTCACTATTCTATCTTTTATCTATGTTTAAGTCAATATCGCCTGTAGCAATCTACAATATAAAAAGCAAACAAATAAATTGTATAAGCATTGATTCTGTATATATCTAGTTCTCTCTTTCTTAATGACTGCTGTCATGCTTTACATAACTTACGTGATACTTTTGGATGATAGGGATTGAGTCGAAATTGATGCTTTTGCGTATTACTCCCATGATAAAAAACAGATCCAATCATAAAAAGAACTCCGGCAAAAATTAACTGCCACCTGGGCAATGTCACACCATAATCAAGGATGTATTTACTTGATCCAATTTCGACTATGGGGCCAAGTAACAGGCTAACTATGCATTCATATCCAACAGCTTCATATTGGGCAGTGAATGTTGTAACAAAACTCGATTCATAAACGATACACCAGGTGTGGTGTATAATTTGCATTGCTGCGAATACGGCCAGAGTTTCATTGTATTTAATCGATTTGTAATCAATATCTCCGTCAGTGAGTACTTTGAAACTAACGCTTTTATAAAATAGAACCGCATTCATGATTATCTGAAAAAGCAACCACAGATAAGTATTTCATTTTCACCCTGCTACTTACGGTGGAAATGCAAAAGAAACGAAAGAGGAATAGTTTAAAGTCGACAACTCCAAACACTCTGGGATTGATGTCTCGTCCATGATAAAAGTTGTAAATTGCATTGTTTATCAGCACATCAGACTTGAGGTTACATAAGGGCACATAAAAACTTCCAATATATAACGCTACAGATAAAATAACACCAAGTACAGTTAACGTTACATAGTGTTGAAAGAAGTTTTGTAAAACATTTTCAATAACTAAAACACCAGTAAAGGTCTCCAACAATATTAGCACAATCCCAACAAGAACAAGAGTAAAAAACCCATTCATTACATAATTCAATTTGCTACCCCTATTAGGCAGTCCGCTAACTTTCGGTCCACCAAACGGAAGCGCACCAATGACAAATACAAGCAAAATGTAACATAGCGATATTGCGAATGATTTCAAACCAAAATACGTAGAGATGCGTGAATAATTAAATTTTGGAGACGCGGTGAAGTTGCACTGTTTCTCATTACAATATACCAAAAATATTAGAGGTATCAAAGGTAAACAAAGTACAAATAAAAAAGCATTGAACAGCCCAAATTCGTTTGGTGTAATTTTATCAATAAGCTTGGGTTCACTTTTGCGAACAGACTTTTCTCTAAAGTCCCCAGTTTGGATATCATCTTCGTCTGAAAGTTCAGTCAGTTTTCGTATGGACGATGTAGAAGACTCTCGTTTCAGGTGATCAATATGATCTATCTCATGTCTAAACGATTTTGTAGCTGAGCGTCTCATTAAGTTTATGTAACTACCAATTTCGGGCGTTGCCTCTCTCAATTTTGGGATAATATTCTGTAAAACAACCTACTAAATGTAACATACATGCAAAACCATGTCTGTAGCATTGCTTAAATACCTTGTAGTTGAATTGACCAGATGCAAAATACTTTTTTTTTTAGAAATTTAATAATGCGTGTTTGGGCTTTGGTTTCACGTGTGGTTTGCAGTCTTAAACGTATAAATTTCAAATACTCTCAAAAATGTGATGTAACGAATCAAATGTTTAACTTTCTCAGCAAGTATATCACATAAAGGCGCCAAAAAATAGTAGTGACACCTCTAAAAAGTATGCCAAAAATTTTAATTTCGAGGAAATATGCAATTCCTATCTCGGTACACAAAATATTACAAACATACAATAGATGGAGCTACTTGTTTCATTCAAATAAAATTGTTCAACCATAAAGTATTTAAACAACGCCCGTTAATAATCAACCTGTGATTCCTTTACTTCGGTGTTTATTTTTTTCGGTCGTCCCCTCGTTTTGGGTGAAGCTCTGACCGCCAATGGTAGTTCATCATCCGTTTCCGATTCAATTTCCTGACGCGATTTGCTACCTAAAATGTTGATAATACTATGTGGCTGTAAAATATAGACGAAAATTACTTGCACGTGTTATTCGGTCAGGTACATTACTTTTGTTTGTGTCAATTCGACTAGGAGTAGTTCGCGCGGGACTTCGTCTCGAAGGACTTTTTTTTGGTGTAGAGGTAGTGGTACGTGAAGGGCTCTGACGTATTGACCGTCTCGGTCTCGGACTTGCCGGAGGTGAATTTGTCGTCAAGCGTGAGGGGCTCTTGGATTTGACTGCCCTTGAGGGTGATTTTCTGTAACTCTTTACAGGACTTCTCTGTGGAGACTTTTCCTGTTTTGTTCCTTTGGAAACCATCTGAGAAAAAAATTTAAAGGGGCATTTAAAAGTTGTTTATATTGGAAGTTATTTGAAAACAGGGGTCAATGTATTGATACCACACGCAAGCGTGCTAAGTGCGCGCCAAAATGGTAAGAACCAGCTTTGCGGGAAAAATATACAAACTGTTTGCAAATAACGATAAAATTTAACATAAATAAACATTCTTACCTTCAAAATTACGTATGAAATTAACAAAATGTGACAAACCACAAAGCAACTGACGCTACAAACGACGCTTAAAAGACCACGCCAACTTGTTTATATTTAGTAGCTCGGGATTGGTGGATTTTAATAATTATACGTTACTAAAAAATTTTAAGCTTTTTTTTGTAAAAATAAAAGTACACTTTTCTTGAATTGCAAATTGCGATAACGAGTAATTATACTTTTCTCCTTTTGTAAACAAAAAATCCCTCGAATTTGTAAGGGTTATGTGCCCTTGTGCAAAGGTTTTATGACAACAAAGCATTGGCGTATGTTATGTTGTGTTCAGACTCAGTGGCGTACTTAGTTAAAACGACTGAAATAAGGGAGCCTATAGAGAGAGTACCCTTTCCTTTCTTTAGGCGCTTTCTTTCGGTGATCCAAACGCGTTTGGATTGTCAAATCACGTTCTTTCGAAGTGTGATCTTATAATCATGATTGCTAAAATCGTGAACAAACTGAACATAAAAGTATTTTGACACAAATTCCTAACCTACAAATGCAAGGATATTTTTGCTCAAATGTTAGATTAGTCAATATTTGTATAGCATAATCGTGCACGTGCTTCCACTTGTATTTAAATTATTTTCATAATCCAAACAAAAAATACGTAATTCGAATGCAAATGTGCGCTACGTAAACTTAACCAAACTTTGATTCAAATTCGGGCGTTCTTTCGTAAAACGTGATCCTACGAATCACGATCTCGAAATCATGATTGCGAAGTAGCCGAAAGAAAGCGCCTCAAATATAATCAACGCCAAGGCCAACTATAATAAATGCGACATACCTCGTCCTAGTTAGTAGTTATTGTATTTTTGTAGGTTTATGCCCCGTTCCACCAAGAACGTAATTACCTACGTTTCGGCAAAATCGCTTAGTGGTCCTTCACATTAGGCGACTTCGCAGTGCTGCTGAGCTGAGCAGCGCGGCGGGACGGAGTGCAGCCAGGGCCGTAGAGAGAAATTTGGGGCCCGGGGGGTTGTTAAGCACGGGCTTAAACTTACCTATTCCACATTACTTTATTCTAGGACTCATAATATGAAATATTTTATTTTAGTGAAATTGGTATGCTTTATGGATGTAAAAATTTTATTCCCAAAAAACCATGCAATGGGCCCCTTTTCAAAATCCGGGCCCAGGGGGAATCCCCCCGTTTACCCCCCCTTCTCGTCAGGCCTGAGTGCAGCGCTGCTGAGGGACGCGGTCGCCTTATATGAAAGGTTTCGACGCCAACGGCGCTGCTCGTAGTTATCATCACTCATTCTTTTTTTAAGGCTGAAAGTACTCAATGGTACAGCATTGTGAATAAAAAAAAAAAGATCTAAGGTTATACTTGAGCCACAGACATTAGTGGTTATGGTGTCGTCATTTTCATCAGTTCTTTAATCTAACCTTTAAAACTCCTCATATTACCTTATAACACAGAACAGTAATATTCTGTGCCTTATAAACAGGTAAGGAAAGTTCATAGCTTTGATAGAACTTTATAAATCAAAGTTTCTTAGTCTGATTTTAAATGTTTACTACACAAGAAGAAATTAATAAAAAAACAGGTCCTAACGGAGTTGGACGATACGATTTTTTAAATTTGCTAGTACAAGAATTTTACAAAACTAATTCATTGGGTAAAATTGCGAGTGACACTATTGGTCTTATATGGTACATTTTCAGATGCCAAGCGGCAGGTGTTGGCGAATTTAGCAAACTTCTCTTACGATCCAATTAACTATGAACTTATAAAACAGTTACGTATCGTGGACTTATTTTTAAAGCAACTTCTACACCACGAAGAGGACTTTGTACATTTTAGTATTAGTGGCCTCTGTAATTTAAGTGTAGATCCTAGTATAGCGGATCTCATTGTCAAGCAGAATGGTGTATTTTTAATTTCGAACTTATTAATGCACAGAAATGTCGAGATATCACTGAATTCGTTAGCAACGCTAATTTATTTGATTAACCAAGACACTCAAGCTTCAATTACAACAGCAGAGATTATAAACAAAGTACTGCACTACAGTTCGAGCACAGATACGAGACTTAGCAACCTCGGTAATATATTTTTACAAGACTTTTGTACGAGCGCACAGATTAGCCATGTTAAAAGCTCAAACAGCCTGGACGTCAATGATATACCTTTACCCTTTACGTAAATTCGCAATGATAGTAGGCGATAAGTGTATAGTAACCAAGCAGATAACCAATGCGGACATCAAACGGTTTATAGAAATTAGCGGAGATTCAAATCCAATCCATCGTCAAGGAGAAAATAGTATCGTGCATGGGGCATATCTTAATGCATTAGTGTCAAGTGTAATTGGAACAAAGTTACCTGGACCTGGTTCATTACTTATTTCACAAACCTCTACCTTTCCAAAGAAGTGTTTTAGTGGTGAAGTTATAAACATAACGGTCGAGGTTTTAGAGCTGCGCAAAATTATAACAGTAGGATATTCATGTAAAGTGGAGGATTTAAATAAAGTGGTTTTACATGGCACTGCTAAACTGATGTTAAATAAATAATGCTAGGAATTGCAATTTTTAAATTATTTATTATTTTCACAGGTGGTCTGTACTGGAACGCTCTAGTTTTAGTCTCACTCCCTTAGGACGTCAATATCTTTGAAAAAATCTAGAATCCCTGGTGCATCTTCATTCCTCCAAGCAACCTGTGCTGTGACCTGTTATATGACTCCCAATGACATACATAATATATGCTGACGATTGTTTTTTCTATCCTAGCACCATCTACAAGGTGGGCCACTAATGGAAATTGATTGTCTCTTCTTCAACACCTCACCTTCACAAAACGTCAAACGTGAATAAAATGGATATGGTAAAAATGTAGACACTATATCCACCACAAATTTTAATAATAATAATGTATTTATTTTCACATCATGACAACTTTTTAGCGCATTTCCACAAAAATTAAAAAAAAATGCGCTATTGTGGCCACTTTGTCCGTCCGTCCGTCCGCTCGTTTTGCGACGCTACTAGTTCTTTATCTTAAGAGCTATTGTTCTACTTTTTTCGCTATTTGGTTCGTTATGGTGTCGAGTCTTGTACCAAGGAAGGAATTTTTTCTGTACCGCTTACAAAAAAAGTTATTGTAAAAAAAACAAAAAACCGTTTTTACATGTTCCATAATTTTACACTTTTGCCGTTTATTAACAATCCTAGAGATCGTTTATAATTTTGCATTGCTATCTGTCGCCTGCCGGTTGGTCTCTCCGTCTGTTCCTTTGTCTGTCTATCCATCTATCTGTCCGTGTGAACCATAACTTTGTTTAGAAATGTTCGATCGCTTTTACGTTAGTTATGAACTGAATTGCATGAAATTCAATATGGGCATAGATTTAGCCATATAATACGCAATGCCAAAAGTTGAATCGAATCGATTCAAAATTCACAGTGCCCTTTTCGCATCTCGACCATTTATAAACCGAATTGCAAACTTTTTTACTTATAAAAGTATTTGAATGAAATTTGATACATAGGCACTTGGAATAAAGGAAAATCAAACGCCAATTTCAAAATTTGGTTTTGCGCATGCGCAGTGCCAACTTTTTATTTATGGAAGAATTTAAACGAAATTTGATACATAGGCACTTGGGATAAAGGAAAATCAAACGCCAATTTCAAAATTTGGTTTTGCGCATGCGCAGTGCCAACTTTTTTATTTATGGAAGAATTTAAACGAAATTTGATACATAGGCACTTGGGATAAAGGAAAATCAAACGCCAATTTCAAAATTTGGTTTTGCGCATGCGCAGTGCCAACTTTTTTATTTATGGAAGAATTTAAACGAAATTTGATACATAGGCACTTGGGATAAAGGAAAATCAAACGCCAATTTCAAAATTTGGTTTTGCGCATGCGCAGTGCCAACTTTTTTATTTATGGAAGAATTTAAACGAAATTTGATACATAGGCACTTGGGATAAAGGAAAATCAAACGCCAATTTCAAAATTTGGTTTTGCGCATGCGCAGTGCCAACTTTTTTATTTATGGAAGAATTTAAACGAAATTTGATACATAAGCACTTCGAATAAAGGAAAATCAAACGCCAATTTCAAAATTTGGTTTTGCGCATGCGCAGTGCCAACTTTTTTATTTATGGAAGAATTTAAACGAAATTTGATACATAGGCACTTGGGATAAAGGAAAATCAAACGCCAATTTCAAAATTTGGTTTTGCGCATGCGCAGTGCCAACTTTTTTATTTATGGAAGAATTTAAACGAAATTTGATACATAGGCACTTGGGATAAAGGAAAATCAAACGCCAATTTCAAAATTTGGTTTTGCGCATGCGCAGTGCCAACTTTTTTATTTATGGAAGAATTTAAACGAAATTTGATACATAGGCACTTGGGATAAAGGAAAATCAAACGCCAATTTCAAAATTTGGTTTTGCGCATGCGCAGTGCCGACTTTTTTATTTATGGAAGAATTTAAACGAAATTTGATACATAGGCACTTGGGATAAAGGAAAATCAAACGCCAATTTCAAAATTTGGTTTTGCGCATGCGCAGTGCCAACTTTTTTATTTATGAAAGAATTTAAATGAAATGTGATACATAGGCACTTGGAATAAAGGAAAATCTAGCGCCAGTTTCAAAATTTTATTTTGCGAATGCGCAGTGCCAACTTTTTTATCTATGGAACTATTTAAGTGAAATTTGATACTTAGGCGCTTGGAACAAAGGAAAATCTTAGTTTATTAGTTAGTTATAGTAAATTAGTTTTAAAATTTAGGTTTGCGCATGCGCAGTTCCAACTTTCTTATTTAGAAAAGCATTGAAATGAAATTCTTCTCATAAACTGAAATTGAAGTAGCACGTCAACAATGGATTGCCCATGTGCAACGCTATCTTTCATATTTGTGGCCGGATTTTTACGATTTTAACAGAAGTTGCATCTTACAAATGGGAAATGAATGCAAGTGGAAATGCGCTTTATGTAAATCGTTTACGATTACTTTTTAACTTGTTAAGTTTTGTCGACGGAATTTACCACACACTATAAATAGTGTGACGTGACAAACAATGGAAATGGTGTGTATGCGTATAGGTAAGTATGAAACTGTAGCAGAATGAAGCAACGCTATTTACCTGCAAATAGTGGTATCATATCACATTTTTATTTGTAAATAACAATTGTATACACAACAAATTTACACGTCAACAAACAAACATAGAAATGTATATATAATTTAAAACCATATTAGT